TTAATTAAGTGGCCACAGGTAGGAAGGACTGTTGTCTCCATTGGCACTGAAGGGGAAGGCCGGCCCTCATTCTAGGTTCAAAGACGGAGTACGGCCTCCCTCTTGGGAGAGTCTCGTCAACGAGGAGAATCAAAAACTGTGATATCGTATCCCTCTGAACGTTCACGGCGGGGCAGATGGTGCTGTCAGCTACTGCGGCTGCTGCATGACGGGAAGCACGGGAAAACGCTGGCGTGGCTGGGTCCAGACGCACTGCAACGGATACCACCTCAGAACAGTCACGGACGGGGGAAGAGACTCGGGTTACCGACTTGACCAGAAAAAAAAAAAAAAAAAGAAACCTCCGAAATCGTCATCAAAGACGAGGGGGAACACATGACCGGCGTCAGATGAGCCGGGGATTAATTGCTTGAAGGACTTCGGAAAGGACGTTGAGGATCGCAATGCAAGGGTATCCAGACGCGACGGAGGGCCACGCAGGAAGGCCTCCTCTCTCCTCCGTCTCACGTACCCGAGCTTTCCGCTGCACTGTCTTTGTCTTGCTGTAACGCTATGCGCTACAAACCTACGACGCATGCATACACTGGCAGGTAATGTCTTTTTTTCGTTGAGGGTGTTCCTTGGACGGCAGTGTCGGCCAATACCGAGATGCATCGTCGCTGGAAATTTGAGCAAAAGGTTACTCGGCTGACGTGAGGGTAGACTGGTACAGGACCAGGTGGTGCCGGCGGGCAGCCTCAACTCAATTCTTCCCTGTCATGTAAGCACATGCTATGGAAACTCTGTTTTCTCAGTGCTACTGTCCGGGGGGGTCATCTGTTTAAACGGTTGCAAGATGCTAACATGGGTTTTTGGTGTTCGCAGTGCAACATAGTAGGGAACATGAAGCGGCCCGGCCGAGATGAGGTCATGACGGGGAAACAGAGGGGGTAAAAAAAAAAAAAAAAGTCACACAGTTCACGGACGAAACCACGGCAAAGCGGACGGATGCATCACGATACTTGCGGCGGTGAGTCGGGATATTTCCCATCGGCAGCGCATGACAAAAAAAGACAAGCTTAATGGGGTTTCGCAGCGCAAATGGCCCGGGCTGGAGCTTCGAGGATGGAGCCCAGGCGGAGAACCGCGACAGGGAATAGGAAGCGCGGCGCTGCATTATGACGATTTGGTGAGATTGGGAGTGAGAGAGAGTGAGAGGAGCTTCTAGTATAGTGTATTGAAACCTTTTCACCCACTTTTCTTCCCTGAAGGTTGATGTTGTTCTCGGGTTTCGGCTCGAGGCGAGAATCTCCATACGTAGGACGGAGTACTTTACGCATAAGCAGTACACGGACAGACACTTAGAATACCCTCTTTTTTTTTCCTTCTCCTTGGGAAGAGGGGCGGGGCATCTGTATCGTCCTGTTTCTCACGGCGATTTATACCGTCACTTCAGGTCGGGGTCTGAATGAGGCCAAAGCGGTACCAAGGTCCAAAAAGAACTGGGTCTGGCCACGCATGAGGCTCGGGCGGAGGCGCTGGATGACTCGGGTTCTGCGGGGTGAGAATCAAAGAAAAGAGACAGAAAGATAGAGAGAGAGAGGTATGACTGAGACACTGCCCCGCGATTAACTTGTCTCTTGTGTGTGGGTGGCCCTTTTGTTCTGAGTAGGCTGTGGGAAACGACGGGTCGAGTAGCGTCGAGCAAGATAGGCTTTTGGTTGGGCTTGGGTTTCTTTGGGGGCGAAGTGAGAGAGGAGAGTAAGCCAAGATGGGATAGGCTGACGGACGAACCGACTTGGCTTTTTCGGTTCGTTGGGACTCACACGCGGCGCCTCAAGGAATACCCGTAGTAAAGGTTCTAGACGGCGTGGGAAACGGACGCATGCGTGGCTTTACAAACCCGGTTTTGGCCCTCGGTGTCTCTTTTTTGTTGTACGTCTTCTGGCTTCTGGGGTGAGTGGTGGCGGGGGACCCATGGAATGGAGGGTGGTCGGTGAGAAGAGGCATTGGTCTATTGTATTAGAGCCGTGGCTCCGGTCCGTCCAATGCGATGGTGACGGGTAAATGGCGCCCGTGGTGCAAGCGTATGACTGGAAGAGATGGGATGAAGGACGGGCTGGGGTAGCGTTGGATTGGCAATGGGAGGTGAGTTTGGTGTGTGTCGTGTGATATGGTCGGTATGATAAGAGATGCGCAGCATGAGACTAGCTTCCTGCCAGCGGACGGGAGATTGGCTTGATAGACCCAGATGGACAGGGCGACAGACAAGACGGGATGAGAAGGTGGTGGTTTGATTAGGGATACATAGTAGGTTATCCATGGCAGCTGTCCGTATCTCTCTCACTCTCTCTCACCCATTTCTCTCATCTCTCATCTCATAAGGCTGGCTGTCACTCATATCCCCAAGCCCTGTCTAATCTATTTTGGTCCATCACCACCATTGTGACGCAGATAACCTCATTACAATATCTCTTTCTTGTTGTAATTCACTTCGGCATCTCATTGCCTCTCCCACTCGAGTCAATCTCCGCTTCACCTCCGCTGGCCTACGTACTCCGTATTGCTACTATAAACATACATACTACTACGTGGTGTATAATATACAAACGGCGTCCCGGGCAACGAGAAGACGGGGTCACGGAAACGGAAACATCCAAGTCATTGTCGCATCTGTACGGATACCGTCGACAGCGGCCACCCCTGAAATTCACTCTGAGAACGTCCAAAAACGACATCATCCTTACGGGTGCCTTACGGGGCCAGACCAGGTTAACCCGGTTTATCGGGCTTGCTCAGCATCACCCCTGGACGCAGTTCTTTTTTTTTTTTTTTTTTCTTCTCACATCCATTGAGACGCAGCGGCTTTTTTTCTTTTCTTTTTTCTCTCGTCAACCCCTGTTCACCGCGTGTTCTTGGATTATACCCCTGGTTCAGAGGTGGTTCCCAGTTAAATCTCCAATCCCCAATTCCAAACCCGAGGAAATGGAGTCTGCAGCGCGGGAATAGAAATCTGTACCCGCACTCCGTAATCATACGGAAAGCGAGTAAGAAGAGCGGGAGATACGGAGTAAGGGTGTGGAGGATTTGCGAGGTTTTGCACGCCTTACGCAAGCAGACGAGAAGCAGGAATAGGATCACACACACAGAGAGAGCGAGAGACGCAGGGTTTTTCCCTTTCGATTTCAAGTCCACTCGGCGCATCCCCCGTCCTATTCAGGAACGACTCCGGCATCTCCTTCGTCTCTCCCATCAACCCCCAGTTCCTCCTCCACCCCAACTGCCACGAGTCACTCCAGGGGACGGCCTTGTTACGACACACCTGTCAAAGGCTCGCGTGTCGTTTTTAACCTTTCTGCTCATTATTTGGTCGGATCTTATTTTGCGTCTTTCAACGGCTTTTTGGGGACGGCAGAGTTTACACTATCGACCCTTCAGCCCACCCATCTTACATCCCCCCCCCACGAAGAGCCGTTATTCGGGGCAATTTTCATGGTCATTACCTATTTGTGCTGTTCTGGGCGGATATCATCCCATCCACATCCACCTTGTGTGTGTATGTGCGTCTCGAGCCGCTTAGCTACTAGTCAACTGTTCGTTTTTTTGAGAGGAACAAGGAACCTGGACCGACGATACCAGGAACTAAAAAACCGTACCGGAAAGAGAGGGGACCCGGCTTCTCGTATTTGAACAACCACAGACCCCTCCCATCCTAGGTCCGTAGAGGTCTATCAAGTCTAGCCTCAGAACTGGATCCTGGTCTGGTCTGCTTCGTTGCTCTGGGGTAACAAACACACGTTGTTTGGAGTGAAAGGTGTGTATCTGTTTTTCTATTTTTCTGGTTTTTATTTTATTTTATTTTATTTTATTTTATTTTTGTTGTATTTTTTGATGTCAGTAATCACCCTCCGCCTATTGGATCTGTCCTTGGCTTGAGGGTGTGTAGATACTTGGCATATTCCCTCCATGTTTATTCCTTCTACCCCCGACATCGTCCCAGGTTTATTCCCCCCCTTCTTCCCCGTCGTCCCTCTACCTTTATCTCTCTGGTGGTGTCTGTCGATTTCTCGGGGTATCACCCTGCGTCCGACCTGATACCCTACCTGACCGGGGCCTTGGACCTCTCTGCCCACCCACTGGCCGCGCTATTATCACTACTTTACCAACCTGGTTCCGCTGTCCACTTTCTGTCTCTGGCCCTCTCAATTCACTTAATATCTGCTGCATACCGCACTCCGAATTTTCAGCGGTTTCTCGGACATTATTTACTCACACTCCTTTTTTTTTTTCTTCCATTCCTTTTTGGTGGCGCAGTTTGTTGCAGGAGATCTCTAGACTGCCGTGCTTTATTGTGTATACTCCCTTTTTTGACTACTGTAACAATTTCGTCTATTCTTCGGAGTCTCGAAACGCTCAACACGGCCCCAAAACCCCCAGTTGACGCCTCTTAGACCCAGACGAATGCTACCACGAGGCCCTCTTTGGCAACTCTCCACGTTTCGCGCCCTACGTCACTGTTCTCGACCCTGCAGGTAAAAAAAAAAAAAAAAAGGACACTGCAATTGGGGACAAGATACAAGGCCAAAAAAAATAGAGGCCGAAGAGTCCCCCCCGCCCAATTTCGGAACACGAGAATAACCCCAGAACAACACCAAATGGGAATTACCGGATAAGAGGGAACTCGGAATAGGAAAAAGAAGAAGAAGAGAAGAAAAAGAAAAGGGCAAACGGGAATACGAGACAGCAAACCAAAGGGGAAAAAAGCCCTCCAACCACCCCCACAACGCCCAGGTCACCATCGTCAATCGGAGGCGCACCAAGTACAACACCAACAAACGAGACTCTCACCTCAGCCACGCTGGGACCGCAACTCGGAAACGCCGTCCCAAGAAATCATCATCATCACCAGCCCTCGACAATTCAAGTCGCAAACTCGCAGCGGTAGCAAGCTTTCCAAAACTATCCTTGCTCAGGCCTGCGACACACAAACTCAACTCCTCCAGCCTCCTCCACCGCCCCCGATGGCGGCCACAACTTACATGTCGGTCCGCAGGTCCTCGACCTCCTCCACGGGTTCGGACGACAGTGAAGCTGCTGTTGCTGCACACACAGGCGCAGCATCAGCACAAGGAGTAACAGGTGATAAAGCCAGAAATACCACAAATGATGCCGCCTCCTCGTCTTCGCAGCCATCTGTATCTACCACCGCGACACCCAGCCCCTTCAACTATCTCGCCCTCGCCGAGTCCTCATTTACGCCTCTATCTCTCGGCAGCGATTTTCTAGACGACCGAGACATTGACAACAGGAATTGGAACAGTAAGAGTCAAGATAGCTCCAGCCTCGATAAGCAGGTCAAACGAGATTCGCCAACATCAATACCACCACCACCACCACCACCAGCAGCGACAACATCATCTTCGTTATCGGCTTCTGGAAAGGAGACTAATTCCAACATGGGCGGCGCATCGCCTGCGACATTAGCCATGGAGGGATCAGCAGAGACTAGGGTATCGGAGAAGCAACAAAATGTCTCGGGTGCACGCGACCAAGATGCACCTACAGCAAAAATAGAGTCATCCTCGGCGGAACATGGCCAGCCGCAGTGGAATCTCTATCGGCCGCCCAGCCAGAGCCAGCAAGTGGTGAAGAATGTGGGCGACACAAATGCGAATACTGCAGAGCTGCAGGAATCAGAAAGGGAAAACGAGGAAGAAGAACAGGACAGACTCTCGCGGATTAACCCGCGCCAGCGCTATGCCGGGTCGACGCCGTTGTCCCTTGATCCGCTGCAGGTGGCCAGGGGCAACAGTGCCGCTACAGATACCACAGCCGCTACAACCAACACCGCTACCACCCCAGATAGCGCTGGAGCATCGCCCAAGTCCCCGGCCACCCAAGCCGAAGCCCAAGCCCAGGCCCAAGTCCAACAATCACCCTCCCACTCTTCTCCTCCCATCCAGCCCATCGCCCCCCTGGCTCTTCGTACAAAAAATATCAACGACCTGAATAGCAGCAATCACAAATCTGCCCCGAATACGAGTTCCATCACGAGCCCGCTCTCGGCTGCATCCGCACCTGCTGCTTTTACCCGCCAAATCTCCACTTCGTCCCTGAGATCCAACAGCAGCCTCATCTCCCAGATTCAAGAAAGTTTGCATCAGCAGCAGCAGCAACAACAACACCATAATCACCACCGTAATTCTTCCGCTTCCAGTATCGTTCATCCTATTGCGAAACCCATCGTGCGAACTACTTCCGATTCTGGTTCTTTCACTCTCAAGCACCCTGTTCCTGATCTCAACTGCCGATCAGGTGCCTACGTCGGTAACGTAGCCGTCCTCGAAAAGACAGCAGAGCGCTTGTCTATGACCAGTTCCATCGAGGACGCCATTCGCGATTTACATGGAGAACTGAAGCGCTCAGACAGTCGTCGCTCCTCTATTCTCGCCGCCAGCGTCGCCGCCTCTCAATCCCCCGTCGAGGAGCCCGTTTCTCAACCCGGCCCCCTTCGCGTTATCCCTCCCGTCGCCTCCATCGTCGAACTGAACAACGCCGCCCGCCTCGGCGGCTACTCTCCCAGCGGCTACATCATGTCGCCCAACCACTCCCTTACCGGTCGCATGCGCTCCGGGTCCAAGAACTCGGCCAGCGGCCGTCCCGAGATCGATGTCGATGCGATCATGTCGCGCCACGGTCCCGGGAAGGGTTCCGCGAGGAGCGCTCGCTCTGGTAAGCCCTCGTTGGCTGAGATTGCCGAGTCCGAACCCGTTGCTCTGACCCAGAGCGCCCTCGACGATGCCGACCGGGCCCCTATTGCCGACGACGATGCCACAATTCGCCGGCCCAATACACACTACGAACAAGATGGTGGCACCACCTCGTATAATGATATGATTGGCGGCCAGATGCACCACGACTCGTCAGGCCTGGGCTTGGATTTCGGCGGCGAGAGCAGCAGGCAACATTCCGACGACAGACCGGCGACCCCGAGGTCGACCGCGACGTTTGACCACAAGAACGCCTTTGAAGACTTTGACGGTGTGCACTGCCAGCCCGACCAATACTCGGAGCGCGGTGACTTTGACTACCGCGAGCAGAGTGAGGGCGGCTACAACGAAATGCCTCCGCCCAAGCCCAAGACCATGCCGATGCCTGACATTGCCGAGCCACAGTTCGAACCAGAGCCCGAGCCGCAACCTCGCGTGCCCCGCATGTCGAGAGCGAACTTTGTCAGACCGCAGTCGTACTTTGACGAGCTCACCGGTCAGGAGATGCTGTACTATCCCGCTCGTGTACCGGCCATGCTCAACCTGCCCCCCAAGTTGTCTAGGAAGCCCAAGACCGAAGTCCGTAACGCAAGGCATTCCAAGGTGCTCCAGGCCATGGGCCATCCTGGATTTGGCAAGGCCGAATACCTACCGCAGAACCCAGAGGCCCCGCCCGTGCGCGAGTCCAAGATGTGGCTGCCCGATCCGCTAGCAGGCCACGGAATGACCACCTTCGGAAGCGACATGGAAGGGTCCAGGTCTGGAGCCGCATCCATCAAGGACGCGGCCACGCCCATTGACTCGCAGGTGCCGGCCGAGCAGAAGGACAGCCTCTTGGCTGCCGACGAGCCCGAGGAGATGCCGCAGCCTCCTCCGCCTGTCCAGCAGCGTCGCAAGTCGAAGATGCCAAGGGGATCCGATATCCCGCCGCAGCTGCGTGCGAGCGCCTTCTTCGACCTGCCGTCTACGACGCCGCAGATTGAGATGAAGGACGGCTCGGCCATGGCGACGCTGGACAGTATTCTCGATGCATCTGCCAACGCCCCCGTCAGCGCGTTTACCGACCATGCTTTTGCCGGCAAGCTGGGTTCAGAGGTGTATGGTCCGGACGGGAAGAAAAAACGGAAGTCCGCTGCACCGGGCGCCTTGCTGCCCGAGGAGCACAGGGCTGCCTCGCAGAGGAAAAAGAAAGGCATCACTCCCTTTGGCAAGAACTCTGCCGATACATCTCGAACCAACTCAATGGCTCAACAGCGCGAGGAAAGCAGGAGTCTGACCGAGAACGTCGACGGCGGACGGAGGAAGTCTGGCGAGCATTCTGGCGACGAGCGGGACGAGGAAGAAGAGGAGGAGGAGGAAGAGGAGGAAGACGAGTTCGCCCACGTCCTCGACGGACCTCCGACGACACTGCTCGCCGAGCTTCAGTTGCGCAAGTACCAGGCAAAGATGCGGACGCAAATGCCCAACAGCGCCATTCCAGGCGGCATGCACTCGACGCTGCTCGAGCTCGATGCTGTTGCCGAGGCGCAGAAGAGGCACCGCGAGCGCAAGAAGATTGCCCTGGCCTGGGAAGACGCCGGCAACCAGGGAGACGACAGCTCCGAGGACGAAGAGGTGCCTCTGGGTGTGTTGTACGCCAACCAGGGCGCCCTGGCCAACATGAACCGTCCCATCGGTCTGATGGAGCGCCGCGAGATGGAGGAAAATGAGCCCTTGAGCTCTCGTCGTGCACGTCTGCAGGGCCAGGAGCCGCCCAGGACTCTGGCCAAGCAGAGGAGCAACCTTACTCTCAATGCTGGTCTGAGCCAACTTGCTCTTAACCGCATGCCTTCGTCTGAACGCGTCATGCCGCGAGAAGAGTCTGACGACGAAGGAGTCGAGGGCGAGACGCTCGGCGAGCGTATGCGTCGCCTCAGAGCCAAGGAAGAGGCCGAACACAACAACCTGCCCAAGGCCCGCCCCGTTAGCCACGCCTTCTCCGCCGAGATGCTCACGCAGTTTGGCGACTCGGAGGAGAAGAAGGACGGAGACAAGGGCAAGGAGGCGGATGTGCCGCCCGAGGAAGAGACTCTCGGCCAGCGCAGAAAGAGACTCCAGGCGGAGCGTGAGGCTCGCGAGCGCGAGATGATGATGGGAGGTGGTCCCAACCCGGCACCGCAGGCCGAGATACCCGTGATTCGCAAGCGTCACAGCCTGGCTTCTGTCCTCGGAAACCACCCCATCATTGAGAACCCCAACGCGAACGAGCACCGCCGGCTGCAAGAAGAAGAGCGCAAGGTCAAGGCCCAGGATGCCAAGCTGGCCGCCGTCCGCGCGCAGATGCCGACCACCCTCGACGCACCCAATGTGCAACGTACTGGTGGCTACAGGAACGGTCAGTTCAACGACGGCACGGGAGGAGGCCTCATCGATACCGTCCGGTCCAGCAACGCCGGAGTTGGCGCCAGCATGCCAAACCCGGGCATGCAGAATCCCAATTGGAACCGATCCAGCATGGCTTTCAGCAGCTACGGTATGCCTCTTCAGCAGCCTATGATGCAGCAGCAGCAGCAGCAGCCCGCGTACGGCGGACTCATCGGCCAGGCGGGCGTCACCCAGATGGCCAACAAGCCGACGATGACCAGCGGGTACGGTAATTACGCCAACAACGGCTATGCTGCTGGAGGCATGGGTATGGGCATGGGCATGGGCGGCATGAACGGCATGAATGGCATGAATGGCATGAACAACATGAACATGAACATGAACCCGTACGGCGGCGGTATGGGCATGCCAATGCAGATGCAACCGATGGGAATGAACATGGGTATGCAGCAGGGCATGACGCCCTTGCAAATGCAACAGATGCAGCAGATGCAAATGCAGATGCAGATGCAGCCTGGCCAGATGCAGTCTATCGAGCGGTGGCGACAGAGCGTGATGCAGTAACGGCCTGTTTACCGGAAACCGTACCGTACTCGCACAAACATAAAACACACGACCATACAAACCGTCAATGAGCTATATAATTTATACGGCGGGGTTGGGATGGTCTGTATATAAAGGATGACACACTCGGGCATTGCGAGGGGCGTTGGAAACATTTTATTACTACCACTAGTATTATTACCTTTTTTTTTATCTGTTTTTTATATCATTTCTTTTGTCTTGGTATGTTGGCAAAGCGTGGAAAGCGCAGCGAGCATTGGAGATGGGATATTGGAGATGGAAATGGGGGGGGGGGGGGGGGGGGGGATGGTCTTGGGTACACACCAATTGCATATACCAGTTGTAACGATGGCATTGGGCGATTGTATTGTGCTTGAGCGAGCAATGGGTATTTTATTATGTCGTGGTTAGGCCTGGCGTGGCCTTTTTTTTCTTCTCGGTTCTACAGATATACAGACTTACAGATGTTGTATTGATATATACACTGCCTCGATAGAAGGCTTATTCGATGATACTGGGATCGTCTTGGTGTTTGGTCTGCTAGTGGTTTGGCAGTGAAGTCGTATTGCTGTAATCTTGGACCAGCATCCCCCCCCCCCCCCCCTATATTTTCGGTGCCGAGATGGGTCCCCTGAGTGACCCGCAGTGAGGATAATAATAGCACATGTAGATTGCCTGGTACGGGTACAGACAGCTACAGCTTACGTACTACGTAGTAGTATGGCGAGCTGCATGTACACTAGCAAAAGTCGAGCTCCCTCCCCAGGCCAGGCCAGGCCAGGCCATCCCGCGTCCCGGGGGGGGGGGGGGGGGGGGGGGGGGTCTCAGTTTGGGGTTGCCTCGTAACGCGCGATTACGAGGACATTGTATCCGTATTTTATTTCCTTTTGATTTAATCAAGCCATCAGCCCTACGCTGTTCGAGACGCGTCCCTTGACGAGCCCGTGCTTGAAACGATTTCATGGGTGGTTTGATTTGGGCGGACAAAGTGTCCCTAGTTTTGTTTTGGGGCCGAGGCATGTGCTCATTACGTTGATCTTTAGATGCATTGACACTGTTTTTGTATCAGTCGTAGTCATCTTGAAAACAGTGCGTGGGGAGAAAAACACAGTGGTAACCCCTGAACTACCCTTTACATTTCTCTCTACCATCTTTCTTTCTTTTTTTTTTTTTTTTTTCTCTTATCGGACCGCGTAGCGCATTTGGTCCCCCCCGGCTGCCAGCTCCAAAGCTACTCCATACTCGCCCCGGACCGGAACTCCCACCGAGGCCGCATTCTTGTTTCCAACGTTTGGAACGGCACGACTACGACCACGACGATAAATCTCCGTCATTACTACGTATCCAGTCAGGAAAAAAGATACCCTCCCCACGTCGAACTGTCGTCTCCCCGGGAATGGAGGCATCACCGCTCACCCGTCAGCCTCCGCCCGAGGTGTTCAAGCCCAAGATCGTCGAGCTTTACGAGTCGCTCTTCAAGGTTCGAGCTTCCCTTGTTCTCCGCTGCCTGTCGGCTTGCCAGGTGCATCTGCAATTGAGATTTTTGAGCTAACTACCCCCGTGTCAAGGTGCGTTGCATTGTTTGATTTTCTCTCCCGCTGTTGTGTCCCGCAGCACGGTATTGCGCCGACGACAGCTCCCCTACGATCCGGTCCTTGCCCGGTACATCCGGTTATAATCGTCGTCGAACCGGACCTTCGATTCGTCACAACGAATAATACTGACCCGCTTGGTTTCCGACAGGATGACGACGACGACGAGGATGAGCGTTCAGAGGGCTTCTGGCGCGAGTTCTTCCTCCTCCGCCCCGACCGCGCGGCTTTGAGGAAGATCCTGGACGGCCTGGGCCCGTCGGCGATGCTGGCGCTCGAGGAACAGACGAGGGAGCTTTTCGCCAGGGCCATTGCGGCTGTAAAGAGCGGCCAGGGCGTGGCGGATTTGCATGCGCTCGACGTGAGTCTTTCTTAGTCCCTTTTCCCTTTTTTTTTTTTTTTTTTTTTTTTTTGCATGTGGTTTGTCGCTGACAGAGTAGGTTGTTTAGACGCTCAGTGTGTTTTTGAGCTCGGCGTTATCGAAAAAGTACGCGCATCCCAGTTCGGATATCATCAACGTGCTCGCGGGCATCGATTACGTCGATACGATTTTTACGGATTTTGTGGGCGCCCTCGATCAGATTATAAGGACCGGGAAGAGCTGTGAGTAGGAGAGCGAGATTGAGGTTTTGGGTGGGCAGGTTTACGGACCGGCAGCTGACGGGGTGTAGTGGAATTGCGGCAGAAGGCTGTTGACGTCGTGTTGGCCGTCACGGCTGGCGCCTACCAGACGAGTTTGCTGACGTACTTGATCCAGCGGGATCTCTTCCCGGCTGTTATGAAAGTAGGCGCCCCTGGCGTCGAGAGAGCTTAGGAGAAAGGAGGGGGCTTTGCTGACTGGTGCAGTTCATCCAAGACGCCGACTCGACGAACCACGTGCTTCACCCCTTTACTCTACTAGGCCTCCTGGCCAACTACAACAAATTCGAGTTCCAGAACCCGTATCAGATGCGGCTTAACGATTTCGTCAACGAGGCGACGATCAAGAAGATTATCCGATGCGTCGGCGAGACGTGTCAGACTCTGAGGACGCAGTACATTGACGTCCAGGACGACCTGCCCGAGGGCTGGACGCTGAACGGCACGCTACGGATGATTGGGCTCGGAGCCGTGGCCAGGGGCCCCAAGCCGGAGAAGAAGCCGGTCTACGATGCCGAGACGATGAAGGCCATGTTTACGAAATTGTACGTGGAGGAATTGTAGCCCGTGGACTTGGGGGGGATTGCTGACGAGAGGACAGGCCGGGCGAGGAAGCGGCGATATTACTGGCGACATATGACTTCACACACGCGAACAAGCTGTTTTGCTTCAACCTCGCGACGCTACCCGCGGAAAAGGGCGAGGAACAACCCCTCGCGGCGTTCACGTCGCTCACATCCTACCTACTACAACACGCGCACCTGTCACTGCGGACGACGCACTACTCCCATCTCAACCTGATGGTATTCCGCCTGCTGATTGAGGACCCGGTCCTTTGTAAGCGGATATGCAGCGAAGAGTCCAAGACGGCAGTCAGATTGTGCCGGCAGAGGCAGCCGTATCTGCCGCTCGTAAGGGGCGAGAGGATCCTGGCGACTGCGGTGCTGGATACCATGGTCGACGGCATCACACATAACCTCCGGCGGAGGCTCGATGTTGGCATGTACACGCTGTGCGTGGGTATCATGCTGCGCATCATTTCGTATCTGTCGCGGTCGCGAACGCGCGTGGCGTACCACTGGGCGGACCTGTTCCGCTCGCTCCTCAGCCTCATCAAGTTCCTAACGACGTACGTGGCGGACCTGAAGGATCTCTCGCAGATCGATTTGCTCGTAGACAACGTCGTGAACCTGCTGGCGTTATCGCTTTCTGCGGGCGAGGCGTTCCTCCCCGGCCCCGCGGCGTACGACGATCTGTTTTACAAGGTAGTCGAGACGGGCGACGTGTTGGTGAAGTTCAAGGAGAGCTACCAACTGGGTAAGAGGCAGAGCAACTCGATCGACACGCTCATCAGCGTCAGCACGCATTATAAGGAGATGCTGGGCGAGGGGGGCAGGAAGAAGGGGAACTTGACGAGCGTGGAGGTCACGGAGGTTATTAAGCAGGGGTACGAGACGCTGAGTATACAGGCCAAGGAGGGGTTGGATACGTGGGAGAGGTATAGGGAGGCGAACGACAGGACGTTGTTGAAGAAGATGGCGAGGGCGGCGGTTGCTGATGTTAGGGGGTTAGTGGAGAGGTGAGGAGGTGGTAGATTGTATGAATATTAATGACACTGGGATGAATCTCATCGGTTTTGGTGATGAGATGGATACTTGTGGGTGTTGGTGATGTTAATGATGTGTTAATCCGAGTTGACAAGGTTGGTCGGAATAGAAGCCGAGGTGGCGTGGGTTATTTGCTCAATTCCTGTTATTTCATAACATGGAAATCCCAAGTAATTCATAAAAAACGAAAGCCCAAAATGAATAATGCCTCAGCTCTCAAGGTGTCAAGATGTCTTGGTCTTTGGTAACAGAAACAAAGGCCAAAAAAAAGAGTCATTCGATATGCCAAGGTGAAAGAGTCTCCAAGTGCAAAGTACAAAGTACAAGAACAATGTACACTAACCAACAAGGTTGCTTTGTCAGCCCCTCTGGCCGTTGACAAATTACTGGCCTCCCATTGGTCAGTTCCCTCGGGAGCAGTGGCCATGTCATAGCCGCGCCACCACCATTTCGAGCCACCAAATCTGTCAAATGACCCTGAGCTTTTCCCCCTTCCAGGGCCCCCAGCTTCTTCTTCGCTACTCCGAGGCCAGCCACACATTGATTCCCAGTGTCCATTGCCAATCCCGCTACCACCGCCGACCCGAACGAAAAAAAACCTCCGATCTTACAAACATCAATTCCCACCGTTTTTCTCTCGTCATCGTCATACTCTCTCTCTTTCTCTCTCCCAATAACTCTACTCCTCCTACTTCGTTCGACCCCCAAGCAGAGATTGCATCGGGAAAACAACACTCAGACACCGACGGCGTCGACAGCTGAGACGCCCACCTAGAAATCAATCAACAACCCACTCACACACATCCAATATGAACGCCCCTAGGATACTCGGCAGACTTGCCGTGCGCCGGTCGTGCACCGCCATGCAATGCGCATCATCACCTTCGGTCTCTTTCGCTCGCCGCGCCTACGGCAGCCCGTCCTTCCAGTCTTATCCTCTCTACCCTAACAACGCGCCCCCGCCTCCGCGTGCTGACGGCGCCGAGGGCTCAATCGCCCAGCCGGATCCTCTTCCGAGGGTCAACGAGACGAGACCTCCCAAGATGTCCCAGCTTTCCTCCCACCAGCCCAGCTCATCTCCCTCCCCCTCTGCCACTGCGTCATCGACAACGACGGCGACGACGACGACAACCAATACCTCCACAACAGCCCCCAAAGCTACTGCCGCCGCCGCGGTGACGTCGCCGTCAACAACCGCTCCGGCTGCTAAGCCGACACGTCCACGCTCTAAGCTCCGCGCACGCAAGGCGGCGATGAAGCTCACTCCGGCCGCCGTGGAGCAGCTGCGCGCGCTGCTGGACCAGCCCGACCCGAAGCTCATCAAGGTCGGCGTGCGCAACCGAGGGTGCTCGGGTCTGGCGTATCACCTCGAGTTCGTCGAGAAGCCCGGCAGCTTCGACGAGGAGGTCGTGCAGGATGGTGTCAAGGTGTTGATTGACAGCAAGGCGCTATTCAGCATCATCGGCAGCGAAATGGACTGGGTCGAGGACAAGCTCAGCCAGAGGTTTGTGTTTAAGAACCCAAACATCAGTGAGTCTTTTTCCTGTATCCCCTTAGAAGTTATGAGCAGTCACTAACTTTTGAACAGAGGAGGAGTGTGGTTGCGGAGAATCTTTCATGGTATGAGAGGCGGGCTGGTGACCTGCGTTGAATCTATATAATCTCAGCACCGCGGTCGTTTCTATAGACAGAAAAGACGATACGGTAGACGGCATTCGCATTACAGTCAGTCGGGGCGTCGTCGTGTACATCACGTTCTATTCCGAGCATCAAATTGGGGACTTTAGGGCACGGCATTGGAAGGCGTTTAATTTAGGTGTAATGATACCTACGAGAAGGACCCGGACCTAGGTCTGGGCGTGAATACATATATCAATTGATATACTACATAAACAATAAAGTGATGACAGCAATTCAATCTAGTGTTTGTTCTCGGCAATCCCCTCAATGAGATCATCTTGTTCGTCCCCATTGATATGATGGCATGGCACAGTGTATCTCCGAGTTAACCGAGTGCCGCATCCCCCACAGTTCAATGCCGCCCGCCACAGCACCAAACCTCTCTTACTGACAGGGCCCCCGGCGGGTCGGGTGATGCGGAGCGAGGTATCCCGGCCCCACTAAGATTTTCGAGAGCTCAACTCAATTGCGGCGCGTCATTGCTGGAAATTTCACCATCGCGTGTGTGTCTGTCTTTCTTTTTTCTGCATTCAGGTTTGCCATTGGCATTCTTTTTTTCCCACCGACACTCGCTACTATCTCTTTTCGTCTTGCTAACATTTCTCTTCGCATGCGTCAGAATCGCTCATTCTTCCCTCCAAAATGGCAGCTGTAGACTGTCCCATCTGCAATAAGCCCGTCAAGGAGGCCCTCATCAACTCACATATCGACTCCGGATGTGCCTCTCACATCTTCAACCCCGACCGCACCTCCTCTCCTCCTCTTCCAGCAGCGACTCAGAGCAACGGCGGTGGCACTCAGACAACATTATCCTCCTCGCAAGCTAAACGTCCCGCGTCCACATTCTTCCAGACCCCCGCCGCAAAGCGCCATGCGCCCCCTACAAAGGTCCTCGCAACCCCCGCGAACACAGCCCGTCCCACCGCAGGCGTAAAGCGCAGCTTCGACGATGGCCCCGGAGCCATGTCCTCGCCCTTCGGCAACGCCACTGCCACTGCCAACGTCGCCGCGGCCGAAGAGAGGGAGGAGGACGTAACACCCCCCGAGACGGGCCCCGTCACGAAACGCACAAAGACGGCACGCTCCGCGCCGCTGGCAGAACGTATGCGACCCCGAACACTCGACGATGTCTGCGGCCAGGATCTCGTAGGCCCCCACGGCGTCCTACGGTCCCTTATCGAGTCGGACCGCGTGCCGAGCATGATCCTCTGGGGAGGCTCCGGCACAGGCAAGACGACCATCGCGCGGTGCATAGCTCAGAGCGTCGGGTCGAGGTTCATCGAGCTCAACGCCACGAGCTCCGGCGTCGCAGAGTGCAAAAAGCTCTTTGCCGAGGCCGCCAACGAGCTCGCTCTCACGGGCAGGAAGACCATCATCTTCTGCGACGAGATCCACCGCTTCTCCAAGGCCCAGCAGGACGTCTTCCTGAAGCCCGTCGAGGCCGGAACCATCACCCTCATCGGCGCCACCACCGAGAACCCCAGCTTCCGCGTCCAGGCCGCCCTGCTCTCCCGCTGCCGCACCTTCACCCTCTCCAAGCTCGCCAACGAGGACGTCGCGCGCATCCTGCTCCGCGCCATCGAAGAGGAGAACAGAAATAGGGGCAAGGTAGGGGGAGACCCGCTGCCCAGCCCGCTCATCGACGCCGAGCTGGTGACGTACCTCGCCGCATTCTCCGACGGCGACGCCCGCACGGCGCTGAACCTCCTCGAGCTCGCGCTCTCCCTCTGCACGCGGCCGGGCATCACAAAGGAGGACATCAAGGCGTCGCTCACAAAGACCCTCGTGTACGACCGCGCGGGCGACCAGCACTACGACACCATCTCGGCCTTTCACAAAGCCGTCCGCGGCTCCGACGCCGACGCCGCGCTGTACTACCTCGCGCGCATGCTCCAGTCGGGCGAGGACCCGCTGTTCGTCGCGCGGCGGATGGTCGTCATCGCGTCCGAGGACGTCGGCCTGGCGGATAATACGCTCCTCCCGCTTGCGACGGCCGCCTACACGGCGGCGCAGCAGATCGGCATGCCGGAGGCGCGAATCCCGCTCGCGCACTGCGCCGTCGCCCTGTCTCTTGCTCCCAAGAGCACTAGGGCGTACCGCGGGCTGAATAATGCGTACGCGGCGCTCAAGGAGCCCGGCGTCGCGGCGTTGCCTGTGCCGCTGCATCTGCGGAACGCGCCGACGAGGCTCATGCGCGAGATGGGGTACGGCGCCGAGTACAAGTATCCGCCTAATTATCGCGACGGCCGGGTCAGGCAGGAGTACCTACCTGACGAGCTTATCGGGAGGAGGTTTCTTGAAGAGAGGGATTTGGGGACGGAGGTCGATCCGGACTTGGAGATGGAGACGGAGTCTTAAAGGGTGTGAGGTACGAGATTGAGGTCTTGAGGGGGTTGCATGGGATGGACCGGGCTCTGGGCTCTGGCTTTTGGGAATACAATGGCCCTTTGGGTGGGATTGCATAGCGCCTTGGATTAGACGGTTCCTTGGACATGATGATGAAATATATTACTTGTATTAATAGTGGTCTGTCGGTGCTGGGTGATGAGCGAGATGAACAGGTGAGTTTTTATATCCCGTCTATCGACTTTTTGCCCTGCAAAGATCAGCAGACTTTGCATACGCCATGTATAGTGTCGCTACGACAGAGAGCAGCAAACGGTATTGGCGAAAGAAGCGACCCTGAACGATCAGTATTTAAATTACTACACAAGTTCTTCGTATGATGTACTAAGGATATTAAGAAGCATGGCACTTGCGCCTCCCCTCGCACTCTCAGTTGCCTTCATCTCGGAACCAATGCAAACGCAGCTACCCTATGTCAGGTCATTTAACTGTTTCAATATAGCCTTATACAGGCAAATCCAGCGAGCCTTGGTAGCATTATTAGCCGTTCTCGGTAGTCCTTGAAAGTTACTCCCGGCGTATAGCCTTTATGGCGCCATTGTTGGCTTTTCAGCTCTTCTACATCAGCAGAATACGTTTACTGCGATTGGAACACCGTTAGCAGACAGGTAAACTTCATTCTTTACGTCAAGTGAGTCGGGTGGTTACGCAGGCCGCGGATACATCATTATACAGGAGAAAAATCTCACGATCAAGGACCCAGCTCTGCTCGGAAGGTTCATGCTAATCAAACATCATTGTGTCATTGCGGAAGACAGCAATCCTCATAACGAGCCGCAGAGGTTTCTTCGGCGTTTCTCCCTTCATGGAAGTTGTGGCAGGGTTAGAAAGCAACGGCATGGTCTAGACCCCTGACTTACGAAAAAGGAGTACACAATGAGATCGGAACATCTGAGTCTTATCAATACAAAACTAAGAACACAAACCTTGACATCATTATCATAGACTGAGGTCCGTTCGACCCCAAATCTGGGCCTATGGCCTATGCTCTGATGACGGCATCTCCTTCGACTCCCGGCCAGCCGATTTGGCTTGAGATGGCCCCGAGGAGACCGTCACCAGCGGAACCCGGCCTGACCTTCCATTTGTCGGGGCTCCAAGTCCTTCCTCAATGTCATGAGCAGAATTTAACCTGGCCTGGTGTTCCTTCAAAATCTTGACAAGCTTCATTGTTGGGCCGACCATTACGGCGGAAAGTACGCTAAATCGACGTTCGATAAATCAGCATTGGTCTTATATTACGCTATTCATGCATGTGGCTTACGCTTGTGCAGCGTTGAGAACGAGTGAGACGGTGTCCAAGGTCGTTCTAGGTGGGCTGGTACCAAGTATCTGAAATACGCCGTCGAGGATGGCAAAGGCGCCACTTGGGAAGGTTAGCCAAACTTTTCCTTGAGAATCGCCCAACCCGTTCAGGGCCATGAAGAACACAAGGTCTTACGTGGCAATGGCGAATAGAGAGTTTGTTGCTAACACCAGACGAACGTGCCACTCTGGTGTCGTCAGCTCCACGACGTTGAGGTACGCCGAAACCACTATGAAGGTTGGAACAAAGATCCCCATCTGCCAAGGTAATGATTAATAAATGAGTCGCAAAGTGACATGTTAGGTCATGTGGATGAGTGGCTTCCTGCGTACCACGATACATTGTGCAAGCTCTTCTGGCCGCTCCTTGTTACGGTCGATGTAGAGGCGGATGGTGATGCCCAGCGACACGCCGGCAAGAACCGCGAGAAACGCGAAGCCCGTGGCACAGCCGCCTTTTCGGTCCGAAAAGCTTGTAGGCATTCTGAGAGTCGCGGATGTCAGACCCTGGGTCACGCTGATATGTTTCACAAGCTGGGGCGACAAAAAAACAGAGCTTGTTCTTCGTGTCGAACTGCTGCCAAACAAAGCTACTTATCTCAGTTATCAACATTAGTTCTTATACTTTACCTTCCTTATTACCCGAGCAGATTGGCGGCTCATGTTCATCTCCCGCGAAAAGACACCTGCCAAAGACCTGCGGTTCGCGAATCTGCCTACCAAGTGTCAAGTCTCACTGGGAGATTCGCCTAGTCTAGCCAAAGTATGCCCATGTCGTCCTTTGCGGTTAGATCTACACCAAAGTGATCTACTCGGGCATGCTAGCCAAGCCTCAGCCGTGCTTGGCAGGTCTGTGTGCGGGAAGAAGCGTCTGATCAGCTGGGGGTGGCACCTTATTTTGTCATCAGGTTGAGAATTTCAAGTTTAGTTCCTAATGGATGAGCAGCTGTGCATTGGAATTTGTTGCAGAAGAGTTTTCCCAAGCCGTCAATGTCAGGCTGGCTGCTGTTCTCGATGTTGGGTATAGGATGATCCAGCAGGCTTAATACGGACGTAGGCTGCGCCGAGAATCCAAAGGGGCCGGACTGCGGCAACCGCCAAGGGCAAGTTAAGACAGACCCATTTTCTACGGAACAAACGATTTAGAATGGCCTTATAATTCTGCCAGGGTCATTTAAACGTTAGTGAAATGGAATGTGCAGCAAATCTCTGGTAAACAAGAAAAAATTCAACCTTGGATTCACTCGCCGAGAATGAAATACGCCTAGGCACTCATAGCAGTACCATATGGGTTAACAGATCTCAAATGACCGGTTTACTTTTCCTAAGTTCGGCAAATACACTTCTCAGAATCATTCACAGAGCGTATTTCCCGTCAGCACAAGTAGAGGACTTGAAAAGCCCATTTCCAAATCGTTGTCAAAGGGCCCATCGTTTCACAGATAACATATGACCTGTTGCATGAGCCCAGCCTTAGTGTCTATGGGCTACGCCAAGTTCCTCCAACATTAGCTATAATGCTACTGTTCCCTTGACTTACTAGACCCAATGAGCAGATTCAAGTCCAATCAGTAGCCAGTTGCTGCTAGTCTAGCAACTTCGTCAGCAGCAATGTCACGTCCCGGGCGGACAATACTCTTGCCCAGCCGCTTCGCATTTTCTCGCATTGACAAGCTGGCTGGTCCACCATCGACCATCTTCAAAAACGCGCTGCCTAGTTCGTCTGCTGAGATCCCGGGAGCTGCTTTTCTGTTACCCCAAACACCAATATCAGTTGTCTCCGCGAGTGACGCATAGTTGTACAAGTCTGCCCACGCGGGTAAGACGATATGAGGTACGCCGGCCCTGGAATCCTTTGTCAATGAATGTCTCGGAATGCCTTCGGAACAAGGGTTGCATACAGAACAGCTTCGTGGTAGCAACTTGCCCCTCCCTGATGCACAGAGACAACGATGTAACCCGTCTGCAGCAACGCCAATGGTTCAACAGACAACCACTTCGTAACTCTTAGCCTGTCACTGTGTATAAACTCCTCCACCAAAGGCCTCCAAGCATCTTCGACGAGAACTCGATCCGCGGGCGGAAGCAGTTTCCACAAAACTTGCACTCCTGTCCTTTCCAGCATGATCTTCAACGCGCCCGCCATAGCCGCTGCTCGATCTTCATCGTATTCAAGGATGCTGCCGAGATTCACCAGCACAGTTGGTGCGCGTGACAGCCACGCCGTGAGTTCAGGATCCAGCTCTTCGGCAGTGGCAACTGAAATGGAGATAGGTCCCGCCATGACGATGTTGGGCGGGACGTAGTCAACCGGCAAAGAAGCCCCCTGTGTTTCTTGTAAGATGAAAGAGCCCATGTAGGGTTGACGAGGAGCAAGGAAGTCTATGGGGTCTTTAACCCCGTTTTCTACGAGATATTTGCGCTTCGCAGCTAACTTTGGGCTGAAGAACATATTATAGGCAAAGCGGGCTGCTTGATAGATATTTGCAGGAATATCACGCCAAGGGACAGGAAAATCATAACCAGAACCCAGCCTATATAGAGGTACCTTGGATCAGCTAAACGATCAAGAGGCGCTTGTTCACCTGTGTCACACAATGCAAAAGAAGATGGACTCACACGGGGTATTTCCAGAGTCCGGCCAGCCATGGTTGTTCCATGCCGAAAAAATCGGCTAGGTTATTTGGAGCCAGCATTGCATACAACCTCTTTTCGCCCCGCGCAGCATCCACCGCCGGCCATAACATCCCGTCAAGAACAATTACGGCAGGATCAACATCTCGGATAAGATCCCTTGAGTAGTCATGTATCTGTAAATAGTCTGACTCTGTCCAAGGCGCGATATAACGCTGCAGGTCCTTCATTAGAGCGTCCATGCCCGAAATACCCGGCGGTTGCATTAGATCGATGGATGTCCTGTTCGAGGCGGTGACCAAATCAGGGCCGGGAAGCTCGTGGAACCTCACAACGTGCATGCCGGGGTAGTTTTTGCGTGCATAGTTAGCCACTCGCTCCAGCTTGGGAGCAAGCTTGGGAAACGATGCAACATGGATGCTGATTGTCGGATGATTTTGCAACAGGGAGAATATAGTGGCGAGATGGACATTGGAGAGGCCGTACTCAACATTGACGGCGAATAAGACAGTGTTGTTATTCCCAATGACCGGAGGAGGATGCTGGGTCTTGGTTGACCCTCTATAAAGGGATACAAGTACGCCTAGAAGCCCGACGAGTATAGCTAAGTGAAAAAGTCTAAATTTTGCCATCGTGACAGGCGTGTCGTTGTGAAAGAGAAGGATTTCTAAAAAGGGGTCGGGAGCACGGATTTAGCAATCGAGTGACAGGAAAAGCTGCCGCTCTCTGCTGATAGAAAGGATTCTGCTCCAACGATCATCATCCTAGACTATGTATGTAATGATGACGGCCCAAATCCACACCGCTTGGCAGATGGCAAAAGCCGCCCTTCTCTTTATGTGTATTAAGCACCCCTCTGTTGCTTATGCCACTCCCATTTTCGCGACTCCGCGGACCACCGCAACAATCTACTGTCAAAAATCCCAGTCAGGGCGCTTACCACATCCCTACTTTCAGACAATTCATTATCCTGAAAGAAAGTACTGGCCATCAACGAATGGTCTTTTCCACAATTCGAGCTAGTTAGGGTGACATTTCCAGGGGCGGCTGGAACATAGCCTGCAGGTGCAGCATGCAAATACAGGCATCGATAGGTATGATGTAATTGATATCTGAAGTTCAACCTGACCCTTGAGGCTCGCTTGGTCATTCATGTCTTGTGTCTGGGTTAAGATGATAGAGAGTCAGCTGTACACACCAGTTAAATCCCAAATTGCCAAGGGTTTATGAATGCATGTTTGTTAATAAGGTTTACACGTTGTTCGGTGGACAAAGTAAATAGCCGCCTTTTAGAAGCGCGTCAACCTTCTTCATTAGGAACACCAATCCGCAAGTGAGAAAAGTCAGAAAACACAATCACTCATGCTGGATGCCTGTCTTATTTTCTGGTTACTCTTCTTTTATTTTTACTTCCTTCTTTCAAACCCTTTTCTTGAAATAGGAAGTTGATGGATGAAGTATTGCCTACAAGGAAGCTTGGTCCTTGATACGCCAAGAAAGCAAACAGGGGCGTTTCCAACTGAAGCAACCAATTGATTTGTCGTTTAGAACCATGAGGTGGCATCCATGGCGAGGTACGCGTGGAGCATACACTGCGGTAGCGTGCCGCGGACGCCCGAAAACCCACCAGCCATTCTCGTCCGGATTCTCCAGATTTCCGTATGGAGTAGATTTAGAAAGGATGGTCCTAAGGATGTGCTGGAATGAATGCGTTGAGTTCCTTTTACCAAATACACGAAACGTAGGTAGTCTGTCACGAACAGGTGATACTGGTTCTACAGAGGTCTTTCAAAATGAGGGAAATGTTGGCCTATTTATATGGATTACTGTTGCCCATGTAGAATGTAAAAGCAAGAGTCTCGTATGCCTGCCCATCCGACAGACATTCTTCCCATATTATCTCAATACTAACTTGATGTGACACCACCTCATACTGAGCTCTTTTTGCTTGACAGAACAAGACTACTTTGACATCTGAATCGGAGCCAAAAATTTTGACGACAGTAATGACGACCACGAAGGTGGATTAGAAGAGTTCTTGTAGATCTAATCGTAGGCTTTTGTACTAATTGTCATCATTTTGTGTACATCGAAAATGTTCTCGCAGCTTTAGCCGTTAGTATTGGCATCGTAGGGATCCCAGTTCAGATCCAGGAAGAAAAGTTCTTCACAGGGGAAAGTCTTGAATATAGTATAAAGAGCTGCAGAGGGGAGGGTTCAATCAGGTGGAATAGAAATACTTGTTCCGCATGCCCATCGCGTGAGTAGTTGAGGTTGTCGCATGTCCGGAAGCAGAAGCCTGCAACAGGACTAGAGAGATATTGTTGGCATTACAATACCATCATTATCCCATGACATCTTCACCATTAACAAAAACTACCCAGTTTGTTTGATGGGAAAGGCTGGCGTTGTGGCTTAAGTATGGTCCTGCTCCGACGTGTGCGGACGGACAGCTGGGAACGCTTCGGCAAAAGGCAGCCGAATGACAAGTTTTCCGCGGCGAGGTGCAAGGAACACCGTGGGCCGTGGGATGGCACTGTCGACGCCCGCAACACCCCTGACTGCCGGTCTCCCGGCCCCTGGTAAGCTGGCATGATCAACCGACCCCAAAGATAATAACGGTTGACAGTATCTTGAGCGAGCAATTGTTTGGTATATCAGTAAGGCTTGCAATATGAGAATACCTCCATTTAGAATAGACTGAAAATTATCTGCCTAACGGACCGCAATCTTGAGGAATCGTAAGACATGTCCAATAACGCAGATAAAGCACAGGGCTGGAAATGGACTTTCGGAGTCCCTCTGGCCGCGGCCGGCATTCTGGGTTACCTTTGGTCTGGGCAAACTGGAGTACTAAGAGCCAATCAACCCGACAAACCCAAGTACAGCCCGGTAGCATCCGTTTCGATTGACCAGGGCACTATCAATGGCAGACTGGTAACTGATGGCACGTTCCCGGAGCCGTTGGAAGGTTTCATGGGAATTCCATATGCTCTTCCACCGGTTGGGCAGTTAAGATTTCGCCATGCTGTGCCTGTGCCAGCTGGTAACCTGACACTTGACGCATTCGAACTTGGTCCAAGGTAAGTTTAAGTCACTAATCCAAGAGCTATCAAGACTTGTTTTCTGAAGATTGGAATAGATGCCCTGGGAAGCAGCTCGTCCCGTTCACGGACGATGAATGGCTGGGCCCCGACTGGGAGAGCGAGGACTGCTTAACTATCAACGTGTACCGCCCCAAGGGCCATACGAGCTCCGATAAGAAGCTGCCAGTGGCGGTGATGATCCCAGGTGGCGCATTCAATCGCGGAGCAGCTCGGATGCATAACACACCGTCAATGCTGGCGTGGTCCGAAGAGCCGTGGATCGGAGTTTCTATGCAGTATCGCATCGGTGTTGCTGGTGGCATGAACACAGCCTTGACCAAAAAGAAGGGATTGTTAAATCTGGGACTGAAAGACATGTATGTCGCCTTGGAATGGGTTCAGAAGAACATTGCCTCTTTCGGTGGAGACCCAAATGATGTGACTATCATGGGGTTATCGGCTGCTGCACATGGTGTACGTTGTTTGCGACCGAGATTACTCGATGCATATTTGCTCACATGTCACAGATTGGACACCTCATTATGGATATTAACCAGAAGAAAACGTTGTTCCATAAAGCCATCATGGACTCTGGTGGGCACACTGCCCGAGTAGTACACCCGCCTGAGTCCAAGCTTAATGAGGCGCACTTTCAGGAGTTCCTTGAGCTCACGGGCTGTGGGAACCGTCCTGAGCACGAAATATTGCCTTGCCTCCGCGCTCTCCCATCTTCGACTATCATTGAGTCAGGCCAAAAAGTTTACGAAAAGTCCAACTCTTCTGTGCGGTGGGCTTGGCAGCCTGTCCTTGACGGTGATGTTATTTCAAGGCGCCCCATTGATGCTTGGAAGTCTGGCAAATGGAATAAAGTCCCCATTCTCACGGGATCGGCACACAACGAGGGCGCAATGTACGTCCCGAAGAATGCATCTACGCCGCAAGATTTCACGGACTTCTTTCATACTCTTCTTCCTCAACTTTCCGATAAGGAGCTTTCTGAGTTGAACAAACTATACCCGGACCCTTCCAAGTTTCCAGACTCGAAATACGTTGAGACCAGACCTTTGAAGATTGGGCCGCAGTATAAGCGTGCCGAAGCTGCCTATGGTCACTACGCCTATACCTGTCCCGTTCGTCAGACCGCGATCTGGGGGAGCCAGTCTACCGAGAACCCACCCGTCTATCTTTACCACTGGGCTCTCAACAAGACAGCCTTATATGGTGCCAATCATGGCGATCAAATGCGGTACCAGACATATAACGCCGAAGTCCGATCCATCTCACCAAAGCAGGACGAAATCGCTGGCTTTATGCACGCGTACGCAACCTCGTTCATTGTACATGGTGACCCAAACAAAATCAAGGGTAGATTCGACAAGCGACCTGAATGGTTACCATTTGGGGGAGACAAGGGAAAAAATGCAGGGAAGACGATGATCTTTGGCGAAGACAATGATGAGCGTGCCGGAGGGTCCAGTATGGGTATCTCGGCCTATTCTACAGATTACAAGTGGGCGGCGAAGGAGTGTGACTTCTGGTGGAAGCAGACTGAAAAGTTCGAGGACTGAGGATAACGCACTAAATATTCGGTAATGATTGCAAACAGTGCGGCTACTTAAGCATCTGAACCTACATGCTTTGGAAATTTAGCTTAAGGTGCTCATTTGCTCTTTACCAGTGACCGTACTTCAGACAACCGGGATAGTACTCCGTTGACCATCAATGCAATCTTGCCAAACCATTCGTCATTCGTAAACCTTATCATACATACAAACATTCGTGTCATGCCTCTTGAAGCACATCAAAACATGTCCCAAAGGTTTGGGAAAAGCTCGTCAATAATCGGGACCTCCGACGACATCATGAGCTGTTGGAATTCAGGCACCGTCGCAGACGGGCTATCCGCTGTTAACAACCTCTCAACCACTTCGGCATACTGCGCCAAGCAGAGGTCTCCCAGATCCCAGCCCGAGTTCTGTTGATGCGATTCCAAAGATTCAATCAAGTTCTTTGCAAGCTTCAGCGATGCGCTCTGTGCCAGGCCCGCAGCTGTATTTTCCGTCTCGAGTGCGCACCGCAGCAGAAACGTAATGGCAGATGTGAATGCGAATGCGCTAACCGGTAACCAGAAATCGCCCAGGTGAATCTCCTCAAGTTCTTGCACAAGGAGCACTATCTCCTCGGCAGCTCGGCGAACTTGAATGTAGCGGTTTGTGAGTGCGTCGCCAAGTGCAGACTCATCCTGCTTCTCAATGTCAAGTTCAATCCTTCTGCGAAGAAGCTTAGTCGACAAATACGCTAACCGCAGGTTCGCTGCGCCGGGCGTATGGAGGTTGTTTCCACGGGTAACAATCCTCCTAACATCATCACCAAGAGAATCTTCCCATTGGCCAAGACTCAACTCCAGCCCAAGGGAAGTATGCCCGTTGTCTTGATCTCGCTCATGATTGAGGTCATAGACGAACTCCAAGTACTTGTCCAGAACCCCTGTCAAGGTAACGAGGGCTATGAAGACGGAGGCAGCGCCCTTTTCAACATCAGTCGCATCGGCTGTTGTGAGGTAATCTAACGTAGGGTCTGGGACGTCGTATTGAAACCGTTTGATTTGAGGTGGTGTTCCGTAGGCGAGGCTCAGCCTGCAGAATATTTAGTCAACCATTCCACCGAAAAGGAGCTTTGTAAGGAATTCTCACCATTTATCATGAACTATCAACGCCCACCATATCTTCATTCTTAAGCACTTTTCAGGCATAGAAATGCTCCAGTCTGTAGGATCTCGGTTGAGACCGAGCGACTGCGCCAGTGATACGGCTGCACCAAGTTGAATCTCGTTCATGATTATTGACGTCGTTGGCCTACCGCCAACATTGAGGATAATGGCAATAATGGTGGAAATACCGGGTGAAATATGTAATTCAGAAAAAAGCGTTTCTGTTGCTTGGTTCCATATGAACCGAGAATCGGGACAGTACTCCGAAGGCAAGTCTGGTGAGTTCTTCCAGAATATCATGGAGTTGGCATATAGGACAGACAGCAGTGCCGGAGATATTCTGTCTCTTGCTGTCTGAAACTGATGCTTGAAGGACATTTCATCCAGAAGAGGGAAGCAGATATTGACTTTCTGGAAGTATCTGTTTCTTGCAGGTTAACTGAATAGTCCGGAGGCTCCATCTCTCAAAGCATATGTGGGCATTGTGGCAGTATTGAGTAGAAAACGAATGGTAGCGAGCATTGTCGTAACGTAGAAGCCGTCAGAGCCACCAACGTTTTAATCAAGTGACAGAAAGTTCAGAAAATTGTCCGTCAACTTACAAGTCAATGAGTGTTGAAGTCCATGGCTCAAGCATCTTCTCCACTATCTGGTACTTCTGCAAAGGAGCAGTCTGCCTAGGTGCCAGGCCATAAGGGCGTTTACGAACTGCCGTGAAAATGACCGGCTTTCGGATGCCACCCTTGAATGGTTCTGGGGACTGAGGTGCCTGTCCCGCTTGAGATCCAGGTCTAGTCTTGACCACACGAATCATGCGCTCGTGAATACTTGGCTCTGTGCTCAGGTAGTCCGCCAATACCTGTGTGTCATTGGTAACTGCCGGGCCAATGATGTGAGAGTTGTCCTCATCCTCGGGACTGTCGAGTGCCAGCATCAAATGCGGATTGTGCGGACTGAGTACAACTTTGGGGCCCGAGCTTGATGCCATGCTGCTGGTCGTCGGTGGAGACGTGGAAGTGACCCTCGCATGTTTCCCGGTCTGGGGTACTTTAGCCGATGCAAGAGGCTCTCTTCGACATGGCGTGTTGGATTGCGGGGTTCGATATGTTTTTTGGACTTTTCCGGGGTTCAGAGGTGCTCGGCCTGCACTTCGAGGAGATGGTGGGAACTCGCATTCGGTGCCGTATACGTGGCACATCTGACAAGTTGAGGAGCTGATGCTTTCTTGCTGTTGACATCGCGACTTGCGGCGCCGGCATTGCAAACAAGCTGGGCGCAAATGAGACCGATATGGCCTAGGCGTTGATTGATCTACCAATGATGTCGACATTTTGTTGGCGTCTGGGACGTTGTTGTGCTGTTCTGGGACTTCAATGTCGAGTTGCGGAGTCCGGATATCGGCTGGCAACTCGGGCAAAGGTTGAGTGGGAGTTGTCTTCTTGATATTTCCCCGCGGAAAGGTCCACTGCCACTATCGTTGATGGAATCCGATCAAGGACACTAGCGTTGATACCGCTGTTAGTCAACGCGCCAGCTGATAAGACGGAGGTTCGCCGAGGGAACTCCACTTGCCGTTTCCCGCACTCAATTCGAGTCTTCGGCGGTCAATTCTGGCCTCCGGAGTCTTTGAATTTACCGATACCGCACAGTGCCCACGGCAACTCCACCGATTCCCCACGACAATCAACCTAGTCTTGTTTCTGGCTCCATCTCAACGCGGGGAAGCTTCTCTTATTGTTGAACCCTTATCAGCTGATGGATCCTGCTACTAGGATATGACGTTGTCCTGGCTGGGAGATATCATCTGATATGTTATCTGCAGCCTATGTCCTCTGGAACCGCGCATCCTGGCTGTCAAAGGACTATCAGCCAGTATCTAATCGCCTGCGGGAGCAAGTTACTCAGTGTATCAAAGCTAACGCCAGTTGTCCTGACCCTTGCAATTAGAATGAATAAGAAGACCGCCAGAACCTGGCTGTTTTCCGCCACGGAAAAGTCACGTCAACTCGTCTTTGTTCGAGTGCTAAACAACTGCCAAAGCATTTTGCCTTTTTTCAACTTGTCCTGAGAATAGTGACGACTTCCTTTTACTAGATCAAGTCGTGCCCACTTCGTTCCATCGCGTGCTCACGCACATCATCTTAGTAGCGTACCCGCCCTTCAGGCTTCCCCAGACTCCACAATGCCAGTCGAGACGTCCTTAAACGAGGGACAGCCGAAGCCCAAAGACCCTGAAATTGCGGAGAAGCGACCGTCCATCGCGGGTAGCGTCGGCGAGGACCTCAAGGCTGGCCAGATCGAGCTTCTCGATGAGGCCGAAATCTTCCTGCAGGAGAATGGCATTCCCCACTCGCGGCTTCGGGAACTTCTCCAGGACGAGGCTGCTCAGAAGAAGCTTGTGAGGCATATAGATCTGACATTGCTTCCCTTACTTATGGGAACGGTAAGTTGCACTGCTTTCAGAATCCCCTCGTTCGGTTAGCTAACAAAAGTCCCAGTACCTTCTGCAATACATCGATAAGCAGGCGCTGAGTTACGGAGCAGTCTTCGATCTATTCGAAACCACAAACACTAGTCAGAGCCAATATTCATGGCTTGCCAGCATCTTCTACTTTGCATACCTCGTCGCGGAATGGCCGGCGAGTTATCTTGCTCAGCATTTCCCTACCGGCACCGTTGTTAGCATTTTCGTCCTCTGCTGGGGCACAGTTCTGACATGCACGGCGGCGTCTCACAGCTTCGCTGGCCTGGCGGTCTGCCGATTCTTGCTCGGCGCGTTTGAGGCTGTGATCACACCCTGCTTTATGATCATCACTAGCATGTGGTACACAAGATCGGAAGCCCCCGTACGCGCAGGAGCCTTTTACTGCTTCAACGGTTTTGGCTCCATGATTGGTGGCATCTTATTCTACGGGGTTGGCCAAGCTGACGGCTGGGATGTCTGGAGAATAATCTTTGTCATTTGCGGTGGTATGACCATCGTTTGGGGCGTGGTTCTCTTCTTCTTTTTGCCCAACAACATCCTCACAGCCAAGCGATATACCGTTGAGCAGAAGGCTCTTCTGATCGCCCGCAGTCAGAGCAACAAGACCGGTGTCTTTAGCAGCAAGATCAAGCCTGCACAGATCAAGGAAGCGTTCAAAGATCTTCAAGTCTGGCTTTTGTTCTTCTACACCTTGCTCAACGAAATCGTCAACGGTGGCATCGCCAACTTTGGTAAGCTGATCGTAAAGGGTTTCACCAAAGATGCTCTTTTGACTACCGCTTACGGAATCCCTTATGGCGCTTGGGTTGCTTTTTTCATCTTTACAGGCCCGTTCTGTGCCTCACGTTTCAAGAACTTCCGTACAATTGTCATGATGACTTGGGTATTGCCGACGCTCATCGCAGTCTCTCTGTTCCTGAAACTGGACAGGGGCAACAAGAACGGCTTGCTGATGGCTTATTACATTGTGAGTTGAAAAAAACCTACCGTTAAAGCTGGACTTGGTCCGCTGACTTGAACCGCAGAGCCCCTCATTCGTTGGCGCTTTAGTTGTCGCGCTTCAAATGCCTGCCGCCAACGTTGCAGGTTACACTAAACGTGTTACCTCTACTGCTTTTGTCTTCCTTGCATACTGTGTAGGCAACATCATCGGACCACAGGCGTTCCTCGCATCCGAGGCTCCGATTTATGGGACTGGATGCAAGGTCATAATGGGATGTACTGTTGGTCAGGTCATGCTCGCAATTGCGATTCGCATTCTGCTCATAAGGCGCAACAAGCAAAGAGATGCTGAAGCTGAAGCCAGTGGCCAAAATGCCGCTGACGATGACGATGAAGTGTTGATGGACCTAACAGACTTTGAAAACAGGAAGTTCAGATATTCATACTAGTTGAAGGGTTATAGGATTGTTTTGTTTTACGATAGTACGAAAAACATCGTATTAGTCAAGGGCCATATGAAGCGTTGTATTTGATAGTATAACCCATTTGAATTGAATGATGTATAAATTGGATCATTTATTAGAGGATGTTCACCACACTTCGTGTTTTAAACCACAAACAATACGTCATACCCACCAAGAGGTTCATCACCGAAAAGACATTTCCCAATCTTGGTTATGAACTTCTAGTATATGCATTGACCTCTAAGCAGCACATGGGGAGATAGCATCACTATATTCTTGGCTGTTCTTTTTAACCTTCCTATGCTGGCATCCGACACATATTAGTTGTCATGTCAAAGGTATAGCCATAGCCTTTGACGTACTTTTGACCTTACATATAACTTTTACATGCCCTTATCAAAACATAACTACACCCATTTCATAGAGATGGGCATGTCGCCGTTTTGACTTGGTTTTATTTGCTAGGTTGACTGGAGATATGGTGGTTTATAAGTCTTTTACGGAAACTATGTGGACTTTTACATGTAAGAGAAAGTATATCTGGCTGCAGAAGATTATCAGATTGTAGCGACTCTTCACTGGTACGTGAGAATTGAAGGCGTTTGGACAGAGCGTATCGTTGCGGAGGAGGAGTGTCACAGTGATTCCTGGGAAGGGCCTCTCTGTAGCCGCTGATCCATAAGAACAGAGGCAGCACCTAAAGCTCGAAAATTGTTGCAATAATCGGAATTCTGAGTTGAAGTGGCTCTGTAACTGCCTAGCTGCGGGCTACCAGCCACCAAGCTTCACGTAAGTAGGCGAGCAAAACTACCCGCGCGACGAGTTATTGGAAGAGGTATGCTCCCTTCAACAACTTCGGCCTCGTTTCCATAGCTTCTTCCATAGACAAGACGGCTTTTACCACACTTTGAGAATGATATTCTTTCCAAGGCTGTGTGGCGCGCGGGTCCGCGAAGTCTCACCAGCTACTGATTCCTAGGAACACTAGATTAGTCCGGTATTGTCCCTTAGTTGCAGCCTCCAGCTTAAGCCCAACTCTCTCAGGTCAGTCTTTCACAGGATTTAAGGGTTCCTAGAAGGTCTTATATAGACGGGCAAGTGAACTTCCCTCTGCATATCCTCCAAATAGCCCTCATGGTGTCACATACTATCTTCACTGCCATCTAACAAGAAGGAGGGATATTTATGACCCAAAGTCTCGCTGCAACAGGAAAGCCACCAAGCGAGGTCAGCCCTGGCCAGATAAGAGTTCCGGACAAACCGGACAAAAGCGACAGCTATTGACGTTCAGTCTCCTCAGGCAACACAACCCCTGCGACTTCGTCATCTGCCAAGGAGTTAGGTTGACGCTTTTACTACTTTGGTCAGGAAGAGTAAGATTTTGACACAGAGACCAACCAAAACACCGACTAACCTTCCTATTTCACCGCTACGCACAAGGGTTCTGCAGTGAGTCTTTACGCTCGGCTTTCTCTTAAAATAGTGTTGTCGTGGACTTAGAAATAGACTTTCATGTCTGCAGTGATTTATCAATAATTAGGGACATTGAGTTGGTCAGTCCAAAAAGAATTGGGTTTTGCTGACCGATATTATTGCATTTAAGGTAAAGCAAACTAGAAAGAAGGCTATCAAACCATTATTATAGCCAGTGACCTCATTTTGAGCCCATCGCCAATGTCATCCTATAGAAACTCGCTAGGGTTGCCTCTTCCTTCAAAGGATTGCTGACCACATAGTTTTGCAATACTACCTGCTAGAAAGAGCTCAGGATCACCGGAACAGAGTGGGGCAACGAAAGCCGAGAACTGATAAGGAGATGGTGTATTTATACCTCAAGCGCTTGCTCCAGATGCCGTGAAACCAGTGGCCTGATCAGCATCAACATGAAGCTCGCCATCTTGTCGCTCATCGCATCGGTGGCTGGCGTCCATTCGGCAGCCAGCAATGTCTCGCACTCCGAAAGTCTCACTGTAAATACCTCGACTGGCGTCTTTACAGGACTGATTGATCCAGAAGCACCAAATACTAGGCAATGGCGTTCCATTCCTTTCGCAGAACCTCCTGTCGGGTCGCGTCGCTGGCTACCTCCTGAGAAGCTTCCGCACTCGAACAAACATCAATATGCGACGAAGCTCCCGCCCTCATGCCCCCAGTTTGTGACGGCAGTAGAATCTCTGTGGAACTTGTCTCTGACCAAGGGTAATCTGATATACAATGGCGGCCAGAACGATTCGTCGGGTCTAGTAGGCGAAGCGACGTCCGAAGACTGTCTTTACCTGGCAGTCTGGACGCCTACGAGCCCGCCGCCTAAAGGAGGTTTCCCAGTCCTCTTTTTTATGACAGGCGGCGGCTTCGTGATGGGTGGCGTTGACTTTCCCTGGCAAATTCCAACGTCATGGGTCGAGCGATCGCAATCGGCAATCATCGTCACCATCAACTACCGCGTCAGCATCTTTGGCTTTCCTAATGCGCGCGGCCTGGCCGATGGCGAGCAAAACCTCGGTATACTCGATCAGAGAGCCGCTCTCGAATGGGTTCAAGACAACATCGCAGCTTTTGGCGGCGACCCAACTCGCATCATGCACTGGGGCCGGTCTGCGGGCTCCATTAGCGCGGACATCCACGCCTATGCATACCACGATGATCCGATTGCTCAATCCTACTACCTAGAGTCGGGAGTCGTATCTTCTGGCGGTGCGGAGGATCCAACACACTCCAACTTTAGCTTCGTAGCGCAGCACGTAGGCTGCGAGTCTCCCTGCGGCGCTAACTGTACAGACTATAACGGCACGGCAGAACTTGACTGCATGCGTCTAGTATCTTTTGCACAGATCACGAACTTCATAGGAAAGTACGGAGACCTGGGCAAGAGACCCGCTCTATCCTTCGGCCCTATCCCTGATGATCAGATCGTCTTCCGTAACTATGAGGAGCGCGCCGCAGCGGGCAAACTTGCTCGTCGCCCGACCCTAATTTCCTTCACAGCCAATGAATTCTCTTCGCTGGTCCCATGGCCCAAAGAGAACGTGACAGAAGGCCCATGGCAACCGCCAGTCACGGCTATGGACATTCAATGGGTGTGCGCAGGCCACAACGCCACTGTCGCTCGCAACCAGCTGAGTACGTCCGAAGCCCCTGTTTTCCGGTTCCAATACGCAGCCGAGTTTCCCAACTTGAATGTGTACAGCTGGCTGGGAGCATATCATAACAGCGAGACGCCTTTGGTATTTGGGACGTACGGGATGTTGGATCACGTAGCGCCGACGACGGAATTCCAGGTCGAGGTTAGCAGGGCGCTGCAGGATCATATCATGGCTTTTGCGGAGGATCCGTATCACGGACCACAGAAAATATTTGGGTGGCAGCCACAGGTTGCTAGTGAAGCAAATGGAGGGGATATACTTCGATTTGGAGCAGGCGGGAAAGCGGTGCAGCGGATCGATGGGGTTGAGGTAGATGGGGTGTGTAATGGGCTTGGAGAATACGATCCGTTCCCGTAGAAATGGTCTCGCAACATTTGGTTGGGGGGCCATCTACTAGTTGTTTGACACTGGCGACAGTAACATGCATCCCACCATTTCCGGTAAGGTATGGTCAGAGATCCGAGAGTGGCGGTTCTTGTTACAGAAGCTGAAGAAGGGCTGCTTTTAACATATCAGATCTTCAAAGGATTTGATCGTTAGTCTAAACAATAAACTGCTAGTAGAAGTTAATGACAGGGAAGACATAGAATATTAGATGATTGTCACAAGTTGATTACTAGAGCGCTATAGAAGTCTGCCCTGTGTGTGTGTGTGTGTGTGTGTGTGTGTGTGTGTGTGTGTGTATAAGTCGCCAAAAACGCATCGGGAAGGTGTTCCATTATTAGTTCTTCTGTGGCTGGACTGTCCTGGCCCTTTTGCACTTGTTGATTGGTAACAACTATGAGTGTAGTAATGATTTATTCTCTAGCAACATAAACTGCTTACATGTTAAAGAGGTATCCCTTGCGTAGAACTTTCGGTTGGCCGCATCCGTTCCCCCACTTGCCCGCTGCTCACCCACTGCTCACCTTGGACATCACTCAAATTTTATAAAACAGCAAGCATTGGGCGAATGATTAGGCGAAGAGATTCAGCTTGAGCAGCATACCGGTACTATGGCACTACTTCACCAGGCCTCCTTGATAATTTCCCTAACTGATTTGGTCTTGATATGAGAAAACAAGCGGTTCAAAGAGCCATCAAGTGAGATGTCAAACAATCCTTGAGTAATCCACTGGCTGAGTACTGCAAACATCATCTGGAGCATCAGCTTGGGAAACAATTTGTATGCATCAGCGTGAGAGGGTAGTTCCGTGGGCTGAAAAGCATGGAGATTCTCGATGCTATCCCGATATATGGTGAACTTTTGGCCTAGATCATAGGGCACCTGCATTAGACCCCTCTTTCGATTTTGTATATGTAAAGAATTCTTACCCCGAGCTTCTTCTGCCATCTGCACCAATTCGTTGACTGTGAGGATGTCGCCAATGATTTTGCTTTCCTTTGGCCACTGTATGTCTGTCGAAACCAGAGCGTCCACATAATGGGCAACGTCGAAGCTGTAAGTGAAAGCGACTTTGTCATCGCCTGTGCCTGGGATAACCGCGGTCTTGTTTGCAATGTCGATTAGGAAGTCGGCATGCTTGAGGTGACTTTTCACAAAGGGGTAACCGTAGTAATCCGAGAAGTGACCATTAATAATGCGAGTGTATTCAAGAGTGGTCTTCTTAAGTTCTTCGATCGAGAAAGACGAAAAGTCGGGAAGTGGCGACCTATACTCTAGAGTCAGTAAAAGCTCCATATGCATGTGACTATTGTGAAAGGGAAGTTTGGTACATACTCTGGTGGACTAGGAATCGACCAAAGACTGGATATCATGCGCGTAGTTTTTGATGAACCGTTCGCAGCTCGAATGAGGTTGATTTCAGCATGGCTTGTAGCTTCGTCTATGAGGGCTAGACAGGATATAACCACATCGATTTCATACACCTCAAGTGCTCTTTTGAGATCATCCACGCTGGAATAATCGACAATAATGACACTATTGTCGCCTTTCTGCCAAAGAGTAAGTTAAGATGGTAATGAGCGGTGCTGGGTTTATCTTCACCTTGCGCGATAAAGTGAAGATCTTATTCTTGGGATTTGAACTAATAACTTCAACGATGGTGCGTCCAACGTCACCCGTTCCACCAGCAACCGCTATGTTGACCATGATAGCTGAGTCGGGTTTGACTTGCGGTGGCCTGAAAGAAGCAAAATTGGGTTTTTACTTCGTCGAGGAAGCCGTGTCAGTGGGTAGTTGAGATAAAATGAAATTGTCACCGCAGTGTATTTGAGTCTCAGAATCACTTCCAAGACTCATATTCTGTAATGAGAACGCGGCAAAGATTTATCGCGTGAATAACTACTGCAACTACTCAAGTTAGAACTGGGTGCTACGGCAGCCCTGGATCTAAGGCTCTTTCCCTTTCACCTGCTGAGTTCAGGGCATAAACCAATTACTGTTTAGCTGAAATGTACCGAAATTTGGAAAAATAAAAGTAAAAAAAAGATTGGTCATTATCTGACAAATGTTGAAAGAATGTTAGCCGTTAGCTGAACATGTGTTGTTTGGCTTATGCAGAGGAAATCGGCTCAACCCAGGTCTATCTACTGACATTAGCCCGAACACAAGGTTCTTCCGCGGATGCAACATGGAATTTTGGTGAGTACACATCTCGCGCCTTCGGCCTTCGGACTCTCATTACATCAAATAGGCCCTCATTCGATGGTTTGGGTGAAAATACCAACTTGTTCTTCTGTTCTACGCCCCACCACTACGATTCATGTACCCCGGATTTACGGATTTAAATAGACGCTATGCCAATTTCATGAGTTGATGATTTAAAGAAACTCCACAAACACATCTTTAAGTGGCTTGAAGTTCAGAGTTGATGCTATTAGTCTGGGTATTATCTAGGTAAAGTTTCAGGGCTTGCCTAGAGAGTCTACTCTTGGACCCACTATCCTCGGAACACGGCGATCCAACATCGTGGCTGACACAATATTGAGATGTTTTACAACGACGTACATGAATCAAGCAACGATATTTCATGTGACTAATTGTATTAAGGTATTTTTCACTACATGGCTTTGTAATTCTGCGGTGCGGGCCTAAGATTCCGTCTTTGAGGCAGACTTTTTCAAGTTCACCTCCACTACGGATGACTCGAAGCAACTGCTTACTCCATCGCGTCTGGTGCATTGTGCTGAGTATAGGTAGTATGTCTTAAAAGCGGCCAAGCCATCTTCGAATTACACCTGCCAAATTTGTCTCTATCGTCTGACCGTCTAAGTTACATCGATTACAAATCTGCTGGTTGTCCCCAAAATCTCCATCCTGCCAGCGGTCTTCGTCCTACGACATGGATTCTGCAGCTACCACCGTCAGCAGTCCAGCTCGCACAGCTGTAAGCGAGCATCGCGATGGTGGAGACACTATCCATTGCGAAAATCTAAAGTGGCATCCGCTGGCATCAAAAGTCTGGATCAAGCTCGTCAAGCTTTCACCCGAAACAGGCACCTACACCGTCATTATCCGAGCAGAAAAGGGGGGAGTTCTTCCACGTCACCGACATATCGAGAGCGCCGAGATCTACGTCTTGCGCGGTGACGGTAATCATCCGCAAACCGGCCACTTTGCTCAAGGAGACTTCGTATCCGAAAGAAAAGGCGCGATCCACGACCCCCTTGTTTTCGAAGAGGAGGTAGAAATGCTCATGATGAGTAATGGACCATCTGCATTTATTGATGATGAGGGTCGCGACTTGTTTCTGATGGATGTACCTATGCTCCAACGCTTGGCAGAGACGGAAGCATAGTTAACGACATCAGAATATAACAGTGCCGGACTTTCTTGTTTTCCTAATTGGAGACGATTGAAAGCCGTTGGGAGCGCATCTTATCAATCATCGCTGAACCAATGCAAGGCAGTCTACTCTGTGTTAAGCTTATTAGGAGAAGACTTAAGATCAAAGAAATTTTGCTATTCGCTTCTAAGAAAAATAAAAACTATCTTTGGGATGCACATGTCATTGCGAAATGAGACTGTGAAAGAAGTTTACAGTCGGGCTTTAAAACCTTTGAAAACAATGTATTAGTGAGTAGTACAAGACATTTTATGCAGTTGCCTTGACTACCTGATATCTATGAACCAAATGGAACTTAACTCCAGTCTATCTCACATCGCCAAAGAAGTGCACTACGCAAGCCTCCCACCAACTACAATTTCGCAACCCCAAACCCATCCTTTCTTGCACGGCCAAGCAAGCCCCTTGAAATATCCTTCAGACTTGCCGTGCCCATCAATGCCATTGTTCGTGAAAGTTCCCGTTCAAGAATATGGAGCACTCCCTCAACACCTTTTTGTCCATCCCAGGCGAGACCCCACAATGCCGTTCTTCCAATAAGACACAGGTCGGCACCCAGTGCAAGTGCCTTGAAGATGTCACTACCCCGAGTAATGCCTCCATCAAATATGACAGGTATCCGGCCCCTTACAATATCCGCAACTTCAGGCAGCGCCTCCAGAGTCGCAGGCACATCATCCAGCTGACGACCACCATGGTTAGAAACAACAATAGCATCCACGCCAGCTTCAACAGCTCTCTGGGCATCCTCGGCTGTTATGATACCCTTCAGGATAATTTTCATTATAGTCTGTGAGCGAAGCCAGGGAATGACCTCATTCCACTCCAGACTCGCGTCGACAAGGGAGTCGTAATGGTCTTCTACAATTTTGTTGTACTCTGCCGCTGTTTCCGCGCGAAGGAGCATACCAGCTTTGGAGATTGCGCCAACTCTCCGCGAGGCAAGATTTGCCATGGCGATACCTGGAGGTAGGGAGAGCGGTGTCTTACGTTCTTGAAGCCGATTTCCCAGCACCACTGTATCGACGGTCAGAACGAGGGCTTCATAGCCTGCCTCCTCCGCACGTTTAATTAAGCCGGCCGTAAGATCTCGGGCACCAAGGAAGTAGAGCTGGAACCATGGCTTGGGGTATTCGGCACCACGGTCGGGAAGTGATTTTGCGACATCCTCGAGGGATGTTGTTGCGTTGGTAGACAGTGTGAGGTTGGTTCCCAGGTTGTACGCCGCGCGAGCAACGTCAAGCTCGCCTTCGCCGCCAGCAAGTTTTTGGTATGCGCTCGGCGCTATCGCAATAGGAATGTCGTAGCGTTTTCCGAGCACAGTAGTTGAGGTATCGATTTTTGATACATTACGGAGCACCTGTGGACGCAGTAATAGCCTATGCAACGGATTAGTCCACGGATAAGGGTGAAATCGGCAGAACTGGTCTTACTCTCTAAATACTGCATGATTACGTTCGAGGGTGTGCTCATCATCTGCGCCGGTTGTGTAGTAGTCCAACACAGCTCGAGGTAAACGCGCCTTCGCGATCTGATGCACGTCTGCGATCGTGACTGGCTTAGGCTGGGGTGGTTCACTTTTGGCCATGTTGAATACAGTGTGTGCGAGATAAGTCGGTAAAAGTTGAATTGATGACGCGAAAGTGGTGGTTTCAACGGAAGATTAAGGTGAACAGACAATCGGTCATGTTTATTCTCACGATGTTCCGAACCTCGGCCTCACGAGCTACGAACAACCTGACTTCTATGGCATCATCGGTTGTCAATGAACGGACGTCCGACCCACCGGGCCGTCCCAGCTCGGCGGTTCGGGGTGTCCGTTACCGATATCGGAGCCGCCGAATAGCCAACGGCGTCCGTACATAATCGCCGCAAATTACTCAAATTGGCATTTCTTGTAGTTCTTCCCGCGTCCAGTATTTCCGCATATTCTCAGCGCCAAGCATCTCAACCTCCTGGTCCAAATGCAGTAAAAGAACATCGCTCCAGGGGTCCATCTTACTCTTTAAAGTGGCGAGGTCAAGCGTGGCTTTACGAGAGCGGCACATTTCCAAGTATTCTTGCAAATTCTCGAGGCCTTCATGTATCTGGCGATGTTGCTCCAACACCACTGCATCCTCGCCCCTGAACTCGGGCATCTTGCGTGCCAATAGCGGGAAAAAGATGGTCTCTTCAATGTTGTGGTGATTCGTCAGGCGATAACAAAAAAACAGCCCTTCCCTGACGATCTGTTCGCTGGTCATTTTTGGCGGGCCATCGACAGGGGTGTTGCAGGAATCTTGCAGACGCTTCCATGTTCGCCGAAAGTGATTATGCTACGGAAAGTCAAAATCACATGGGTATTGAAGGGAAAGAAGTTGCGTCCGAACTTAGGTCGACGACAAAAAGGAACAAAAACTTACAAAGGTGTTCATCATGTCGGATAGACGATTGTAGATTTGAAAGTCGGAAGGACTCAATGGCTTCAAGGTGGATTCCATTTTCCAGATCTTCGCCCAATCGGACAGTGAGTACTCTCTGTGGCCTTCTGAGCAGGTTGCTGAATTCTTAGAGGCGCAACAATCTCAAGGAAAGTACAAAGGCTGTACAAAAGCCTAAGGCATTTGGATACTCCCTCAAGAATAGGATGCCGTCTGTTGCATCATATAATTCAAGTAGATCTCCAAGTCATGGAGCGGCCCAGTCGGCTTGTTCCTTAGGGATGTTCTGCCCCTCCCAAACGCGTTAGGCCGGTGCTGTATTCTCCGCACAGAGACTTTGCTAATGTAATCAGCACTCCTCGTTCACGTAATCCACTCCTTGAAATCATTTACAGGGTACACTTTGTCATTCCGGGTGAGTGCATTCTCATTTGTCAGCTCATGACATATTCGTGCACTGAGCTGGTCATTGAATCCCACGCATGGAATGCCAGCACTTGTCACTACAAAACTCTCGTCCGCACTGCTTGAAAACATTCACAACAACCTAAATCCCCAAATCCACAGCTTCGATAGAGAATTCTTGATAGTCTATCACAATGTCTGCGGTACGCCCGACAGGTCTCATTGCCAAAAAGGGCATAGAACTTCTCACATTCTGTCAGTAAGCCCCTTGAATATCACACCTGCATCGCAAGCTATGGCTAATAGTTTACAGCGACTCCTAATGGATACAAGGCAAGCATCCTCTTAGAGGAGTTGAAAGAAGCATATGGACTTCCTTATGTTTCTCAGTCCATAAATATTACCCAAAATATCCAAAAAGAGCCATGGTTCACAGCTCTGAATCCGAACGGCCGCATCCCCGTTATAGTCGACCATGACAATGATCAGCTTGCTGTCTTTGAGGGAAATGCTATCTTGAGCTACCTCACACGCAAGTATGACCCGGACCACAAGTTCTCGTTTCTTCCTTCAGACAATGACTACACCCGGGCAGAGTCCTGGATTGGTTGGCAGCACGGTGGCCTGGGCCCTATGTGTGTAACTTTCAATCGCTACCATCCCCAGGACACTTGCTGACGTTATCTTGTGTACAGGCAAGGACAAGCCAATCACTTCGTTAGGTTTGTTAAGGAAAGAATCCCATACCCAACGCAACGCTATGTCGGTGAGACTGAGCGGCTCTTTGGCGTCTTAAACACACATCTTGCTGAGAGGGATTTTGTTGTGGGTCCCAGTCGCGGACGCTACAGCATCGCTGATATTTCGATGATCGGCTGGGTCCAAAGTGCTCCAATGGCTGGCGTCGACATTTCTCAGTTCCCTTCCGTAAAGGATTGGCTGGACCGGTGCTTGAAACGACCTGCCGTTCAACGTGGAATAGCAATCCCTTCTCCCCCCAGCATGTCTGTTGCGGCCTTGGAAAGTCGTCTGAAGGCGGGCGAACCCAGGCTCCTTGAGAAAGAGTCTGAGGTCAAGCAACAAATCGAGTCAGCCAAGCAAGCCTATGGTTACAAGTACTCATCTCCCTAGTTTTACTGTTTCGTCTGCAAATGTAACACTAGGGGTGCGAATATGACTTTTGCCAACTCGCACACTGTAAAACCTTTGTACTCAATTTTTCTCGTCGACTGTATATCAGATATACTTAGATGATATTTTCTGGCTTAGGCCTGCTAGAAAGGAGGTAGCAGGAATACGAAGAAAATGTTATTTGTTTCCTACATTTAACCATGCAACAATAGCCATATTTGCTCATTTGCAGTCAGTGCTAGGTAGTAATAACGAGTAGAATAGTAATATGCTGTCGGCCGGATCATATGCGGAGAGATGGCTAATATGGTTAAGCTACGAACCCGATAGGTTGCCAAAATGCAGAGCCTACCTCACTCCTGCGAATCCTGAACAGACAAATCGATTTCCTCTTGACGTCTGCGGACGGATACTTTGACTGAAGAATCAGACTCGCACGAAAACCCAAATTCCATAAATTTGGGCTTCTGACCCTCCGCAAATTCGAAATCGTATTTGAGCAGTAGATGCACCAGAACCACCTTTGCCTCGTTGCCGGCGAAGAAGCGCCCAGGACAAGAATGCATTCCATGTCTAAAACCCATGTGATCCACGCTGGTGCTCACCAGTTGGCTAACAGCATCATTTGGCCCGCCCCGTTGACGATAAAATCGGTAGCCGTCAAACTCTAGGGGTTTTTTGTAGATCTCTGGATCCCACATACGTTCTGCGGAGACAACAGTGGCACTGCCACGAGTAATCTTAGTACCATCTGAAAGCTGAACATTCTCCATGACACGACGATTCATTCCCACTAGCCAGGGATTAGCAAGTTAAATATCGGTTGAGAAACTGCATTCATGCATGTTTATCAAGGAATGGCTTACCGATCTGAACGGGCTTTAGGCGCTGGCTTTCTTTCAGCACGCTGTCCATTAACTTGAGATTGTGAAGAGAGGTTTTTTTCCATCCTTCCTCTCCAATGACCCTGATAGCCTCTTCACGAAGCGGTTGGATCAAGTCAGGGTTCTGAAGTATGTCGTACATCGTCTGGGTGACAAGGTCAGCGGTGGTATGCACCGCAACGCTGGCTAGTATCAGCTGTGCTACAGCTGGGTTATACCGCTGCCCCTTAGCCATTTCATCGAACCACTCGATGGCATCGTTGTACTCGACACTTGGTGACTCATCACGCCGTCTCTTAAGCTCGTCAAAGACAAATTTTTCTGCATCTTTGATGTATGCACGAAGTTTCCTCGGGCCGGGGAGGAACCAGGCAGCAAGTGGTCGAACGAACTCGGGCCACATCCGCATACTTTGCATGGCAAAAATGCTCAACTCAACATACGAGATCACTGTGTGCAGCCATTCCTTGTTCCTACCTAAACGCTCCCCGACGAAGATACGACCAGAAAGCCTTGAAATTACTTCGAGGACCGCTTTTTTCAAAACCACATCATGTGGCTCTGAGAATGACTTGTTAGCAACGGGGTGATTCGTCATTCAAGTAGTAACTACAGGGAGGTGCAAGTTACCTTTAGAATCTGACAATGTCTCTTGTATGACCAAATCGGCCTCTTTGGATAGAATAGCAGTAATTTTTCCTGCAAAATGCATTTTGTGTAAGTTGAGCAGTTCTGAGAGCCCTCTTTCAGCAGAGGATTTACCGAGAGTTTTGGTCAGTCTTAACCTAACCACATTCTGAAGTCTCCCAGAAGGGTGACACGATTCTTTGTATGGTTCGAAGCCAGCGTATTTACCCTGAAAGTCCTAGAGAAAAACCTTAGCATTCTCTCACCCAAAGTGATTATTGAGACCTGGCTTACCTCATAAAGACCTTGAGTAAAGCTGAACCGCTTGTCATTGCGGATTTCTTGACCAAAATCAGGCGGCAGAACAATAACGTCGCCGATGTCGTTCAACACACGGAAGGGTTTCCCAGATAAGCTGTTTGCTGTATCGTAAAGCATTTTCCGAGCATTCGCAATGAAGTGGCCGACAGCTCTAGCTGAAGACCACTCAAACCTTTTCTTAGGGTTAAGGTATGGAAGCTTGGTGCCCCTGTTCCTTGTCGAGGCCAATGACAAGACAAGTAAAAGTGTGCAAGAAGCTGCCAGGTACCATGGAGACGACGTCGCGCTAAACCCATTCACAGTAGCGTCGGCAAAAGAGGTGCTGTTTGGGCCTTCCATTTTCCCGATAGGATTCTTGGGACTATATGTTGCTGGCTTTTGTCAAAGATAAAACGAAGTTGTTGTCGTCTGGTCTAACAAATCAGCAGAAAATACGATAAATAGTGAGCTTTCTCGGAGCCTGACGGACATTAACTGTCCGTGAGTCGGGCATAGAAGAAATGTTCGGTCGATAACTTGGCTGATGTGGCCGATCCGGTGGGTTTCGGGTGGCATGCAATCGGGCCAGTGCCAATTGGATAATCGGGTTCTTCGGGCTGCCCTGCAAGAAATCCAATGCATCCCGTCGGCTTCGATATTGATTCCCCCCTGCTAACAGCCCCTGAAAGCTTACTGCATCCTAGCACAAGAAGCACCATTACACACTCAGCTCATTGGATATACTCCATTATTCTTCTGACAGGTACCAAGTAAAAAGTTTATTATCACTTACAGCCGGTGGGATGAGGTCTCCGTGTTGATAGACATTGCCTGGTTCGCAACAGAATGCGGCCGTTCCTTTCCTCCGTCGTCCGTGACGCTGATGTGGCTCACAGGGGCGTTTTCTGCTGTGCATGTTCGTTAAAAGTCCTTCGTTTTCGTCGTTTTGCAACAAACCATACACTAAGTAGTGGATCTCTTTTTTCTGAACCTACACCGAGGCTTGTTGATAAACCTGAGGCCTCGGGTTGCTCCTTATTCCGCCGCAGTAAGTTTTTGCTTCCCTTTCTTTCCAGTGGTTTTCAGTCTTGGAAGGGAACAAACTCCAGTCCAATCACTATCGGCACGGGAGTTGCACGCTGGTCAATATCTTTGCGATTGTATAGACTCAGCTTATGAAAAGCTGCCTCTTTTTAAGGAATCTTTGACAAGACGCTAGGATGATCAAAAACCTCCTGATGATTGACAGGCGGTAGGCAAATATGATGGTGGGATCAGATCGCCCCAATGCCAGCTCTTAGATCTTCTTTCGGTGTGAGCATTAAAGTCACCAGAACATCTTAGACAATCGATAGCCATATGTATCAATATTAGTGGGTGATGAATCATTACTCATAATAAACCTGCTTAGATAACAGCTGGCCGGATTATGTCGTCTTCGTCTTCATTCCGTTGCCTTTCGACAAACCTCAGCCACACAAGAAAATACGTACCTGATGATACTTATCGAAGCCGGCGAGCTCACCAAGAGTAATTCCGGCCGCCACTATCATGAAAAGTTCCCCATGTTTCCAAGTAGCAGTTAGGGTTAAGATAATAAGCATAAGGCAATTTAGTAACGTAGAGCCAGCAACAGCGCAGGCACGCCAGGCTTGGAATCGTGGATTATGAAATCGAAAGGGCTATTGACGATAGATTCTCTCTTAGCAAGGTCGTTACATTAAATAGAGTGAGGCTTGTAACCCTGCAAGCCATCTCTGGAACGGTTACGTCTGTAATGCGGCTGATGTTACGCACACTAGACATGGGTCACTTAAGAGGTCTCGCGAAATCCCACACATAGTCGTGTTGGGTTGAGATGTATTTTGACCGACGCACTCCTATCTCTACTATCTGAGTTTCACGATAGGCCAATCGATAAGCCAGAAAGACCTATGGTTTCAGCCTAACGCCGCCCTGTGACTTTGCAGTCCACAACAGTAGCGCTAAGACGCCACACGTGCGATACGAGATCTGCTAGATCCCTTTGTTGCTCATAATATGTATGGGCGCTGCATTGGTTGGTGCTGCCTGCTCATGCAAGGGGCTCCAAGGCGCGGGGTAATGCGGATGAAAATATTTATCAAAACATGGCAACGAGACTACTGCATATTAAGGTCACTTCCTTTCATACATGCATCATTTTCTGTTTACATTGACTCCCTTACCTACAAGTTCTTTGCTGAAATAGATTGTTCTAGGTCAAAGAGAAAAAGAGACGTCGAAAGCATCTGCACCTCCATGTCACTCAGCATAGTCACAGCAAGCAACAAATAGGATGGGAACGAAGAATGAACAGCCAGCCGACCAGGCACAGCAAGGCTTGCGTACGTACCGGGGCAATTGCCACTGCGGCTCCTTCGTCTACGAGGTAGGCCTACCTGAGATCAAATCGGCAATGGAATGCAACTGTAGCATCTGCAAAAAGAAAGGGTATCTCTGGGTCTTCCCTGGCGAGGGCAGCAACTTCAAGATTGTCAATGGAACTTCCGAAACTCTCGCGCAGTATACCTTCGGGCCTAAGAAACTTGCGCACAGAGTTCGTACTATCTTCTAATCACGGTGAAGAGGTTACTCATGAGATATCATAGTTCTGTTCCACATGCGCCACACCTGTCATGGGCGAATTTATCGGAGGCGATGGAAAAGCTTTTAACGTACGCAATTGTTCAATCCGGCGATTTCAGTGCTAACAAGAGCTCTCTTTAGGTTCGTGCCATACAAGGAGTCGATGCGTGGGCACTGGAGAAACAACCGTACGTTACTTCAAAATACAACGAAGAGGTCAACATGGTCGAGTAGCGGATGCTGACGAACAAACAAAACAGATACGACGGTGCTGCACTTGGCGACAAGTATACAATTCCCGAGCACAAGGGTCCCTTGCCTCCCAATATCGATGGTCACAAGCAGTACACGGGTTCATGTCACTGTGGCTCAGTCACGGTAGCCCTTGTGAACAAGCCGATCGACGAAACATGCGATGACTTCATGGCTGAATGTAACTGCAGCATTTGCGCAAGAGTTAGTAGATGGCTAATGTTTCTTACTGCAAAAGTTTAAAGGCTGACAAAGTTTTTGCAGAATGGCTATCGATGGATCTATCCAAACAAGGAACGTGTGGTCCTTTTCGCAGCGGACCCGAAGAATATTGGTCGGTACAGCTTTGCACGCCACGTGCTCAACAAGACATTCTGCAAGATATGTGGAGTGTGCATGACGAACGAGTATAACTATTCCACGGACGAGGAACGCCATGCTCTAGGTGCGATTCCAGACGACGGATTTGCCAACCGCATGAAGACTGAGCACCCGGTGAACCTGCGCCTTTTCCCGGACGTTGACTTGAGCAAGTTGAAACCTCCAGCTTTGGGAGATGCAGCCAACAAAGTTCCGCCATTCTACAAGAACCCTTGACAGAATCTATAGCAAAGGTATTGTCAGTCTTTTGCGTTTTTCATAGCAATTCATGGCATTTCAGTGTCCTTGAGATGTCACTCTTCATCCCAATTCCTAGCTACTGGTTTTGCAATTGACTTTTCAGTTCATGAGGGTTGTACCTTCATATTTTGCTGTGACTGTCTTCCCTCTACCAAAAAAGTAGCTCCAGACCCCTGTTTGACATGAACATTAAGCAAGAAGAGAACTCTTGAAGTACAAGTGTCTCCCTTATGTGTAACGAACCAGGCGGCATATTCAACGTGCACGCCACTCTGGCCATTCATTTGCTTCAACTCACTTTCACTGTGTGCCAACATCCAACGTTTCGTTGTGTCCGAATAGAAGCTCCGGATACATGAACCCTTCAATGAAATGATCTTCAAAATCCCAATTCACGTCCAAGTCGGTGATGTCCGTTGGCGGGACATATTTCATCTGCTTCAACTCAGCCAAGCGTTCTGCGGTATGCCAAGTCCAAGGAAGAGCATTATCGTTTTCGCTGGTTTCATTCGATGTACCGCCACCTAGTTCTGCTGAAGTATCTAGATTGGCTGAACTGATCGGATATTGCACATTTCCCAAACGAAGCAGTGCTTCAGCTGTGGTGTTGATGTCAGGAAACTGGGTAATGGTTGCATCTAAGTCCCACTTGATAGTATCAAAATCTCTTGTCCTGGATACGATCGGTTGTATATTTGGTATCAGCCCATGGCCTGTATTGAAGCGCCTTAGCACCTTGGAACTGCCTGAAGGAGTCTGGTCCCATGGACCATTCTCCCCGCATAGAGCCAGTCGAGTATCTCTTTGGACCAAATCATTTGGAACATACTTGCCATCACCAATTTCAGTTCTGACGTAATCCCCAAGTCTCGCTGTGGGTGATTCAAACTGTGACGGGTTTTTGCATCGTTGTGAAGCAGCCCGCGACGCACTGAATGGTGTTCTATCATTGGCTTCAGCCCCAATAAGGTATGGAGACATGGCATTTTGAACAAGTAACGCAACAGCTGGCTCTAAGCCACGGCAGCCTTTCCAATCCTTTGTGAGAGCACCAGCCCGGTAGTGGTCGGCCAAATGATCATTGCGGTCAGCCCACAAGCTAAATGTCTTTCCACAGAAGCCGCATCTAGACTTCACCTTATAGATCTTTGACTTCCACTCATTCATTGAAGGCAGAACCTTGTTGACTTTATGAGATAGCCGAAGGTGTTGGCGGAGGTGATCTTTTCGATAAAAGACACGTGCGTGTAAGGGTTTCGTTGCGCAGTCTTCATAACTGTGCTCCTGGATATGTTGATCTGACGGATTCTGATCACCACAAAAGGCACATCGTATCAACTCTTCCGATGGGTCGCAGTACCTTGGACCGGATGGGACACAGGTCCATTTCTCCAGTGATAAATGGAGTGTGCTTTCGTGTCGCGTCCAGTCATACCTTGATTTGAAAGTATCCGTGCAAAATGTACACTGGTAGATACGCTTTTCTTTATCATCTTCTGTAGCACTTGAGGGATTGCGAGGCTTTTTGTTGCGGCGCCTGCGTCGGCGACCTTCTTGATTGCTGACCCGCAGGTGTGAATCAGGGCTATATGAGTGGACAGAAGAGTTGCTAGAATGGCTTTGATCTGAAGATCCGAAGTAGCTAGCAGGCCCATGTGAAACGGCCATGTCGAAGCTCCAGTTAGCCGGAGAGGTCCAGTCATAAAATGGATCAAAATTCAGGGAGAGAGAGCTGTCTGCTCCAACTTCTCCAAGTGAGATCGCTATGGCATCTAGTGCCGCTGGTTCTTCTTCTGGGGGAGAATTTTTCCAACGATCCAAAGGGACCATCCCACTCCATTCTTGGCCCTGATTGTTGAAAGATTCGGCGCCCGACAAAGGCATCGACAGCGTTGGCTCGGTCGGCACTTGGGGCTTCTGAGATATCCCGCTTCGGCGTCGTGCGTTGGTGAACCAGTAAGAGATCTGCCGAATGCTTAAACCTGTTTGCTCTTTCAATTCTTTTTTCTCGTGATCCGAGGGATAAGGGTAAGGCAAGTGGGCAGCAAACCACTCCTTTAGCACCCTTGTAGAACTTCTCGCGTGTCTGCTGCTATTCCTAAAAGCCTTTCTTGTGTCCGGTTTTGGCTCAGGGACCTGAACTGGGAGGCTGATAGAATCCATTTGATGCAGGGCGTGTAGTTCGTTGATAGATGATCATTGAATTTGATTATATCCTCACGTCTTCTAATGACAAACAAAACGAGGCAGGCTCTATCGGTGTCTGCTACTTGCATTTGTCAGCAGCAACACCGGCCTCTGCCTCTTATGCGGGGTTCAACGTAGAAGTTTCTCAATTGAAAAACGGACAAGAAGGGTTGTCATACACTTTATATACGAACATGCTTTGAGGCTGAAACTGAGCCAACGGAATTTGAATTCCGTCGATACTTCCTAAAATGATTGCTTATCATGACAAATCATTCAAACGTCGACATTACAACGCAGCATTCACCTAAGTACCATTGAGCTCCTTCTCCGGTCTGCCAATTGTCATCTTTGGCCGTAATAATGGCAGAGCTGAGAACTTGAACAAATAAGCGGCTGATTTTACCAAGCCTCATAGAACACAGCTTTTGGAGGTTGACAACCTAAACCCCTATGGCGAAAATAAATCATAAACATGTGTGAGATCAAAAAGGTTTTCTTGCATTGGCCACGAAGATGCACAATATCAATTTCGCCATGATTAACAAGAAATCATCAGTAAGCAGAAGCACGTCGCTATGAAAAGTAAGCGTCGTAAACTTGGTGAGGACGCGGTATCTAATCCACCCCGATCTAAATTAGCTTCAACAACCGTTCGGACAGCCGAAAGTGTGACAAACTTGGAATATACAGCTACGCTAGACGGCGTTAGAGAGTAGCTTGGTTCATGAAGTGAGGAGTTACGTAGTAAAGCACATATTTATGTCTGCGGTGTGCGCTTCAGAGGGATTACATGAACACACCGAGTGAGGTGTGTTCGGCGAGCATTGACGTTATCGTCGCAGAAGGGGCTCATCACAAGACAAGTGGTCAAAGACTTTGATCAATGAATGAATGAGACAGGGAAAGAATACGGGAATTCAGCCCAAACGACACCGTGGTTTAGGTACACTGTCAAGGCCCAATTACTGGTCCGGGCTCCCTACAAGCACTGCTGGTTGACGGATAAGCATGGCATTCGTCCTGCATATTGCTCATTTAACTAACTTCCTCTGTCGACGTGCACATAGATGGGATGCAGCTATTCAAAAGACATATCATTACTTTTTGCTGTTTCTTCTACTCAAAGTTTTCTCTACTAAATAGTCTCACTACGACGAGATACGTACTCCCTTGGCAGTCAACGAATGATTCAAGCTTACTGGAAAACAATATATTTCGTTCAATAACGCAATTGTCTTTAATAACATCAAAACCCTCATAGTGAAAGCCGTCTTTGTCTAGAAAATAAGCTTTTTGTATGTAGTTCAATTTTTGGAAAGCAAAAACTGCCCTTACCGTGCAATTGGGTGATTCACGCCAGCCAAGCTCTTACCAAACTCAATATGGGCCGTTACAGGTTGCATGACTTGTGCTAGGCTACTTGTACAACTCAAAAATATTAAAACTAGCCGGAAAGTAGACTTGATTTGCATCACCTAGATCATTCATTAAAAGACATAGATGTTGATCAGCATGAATGGGATTTTCCGGATATGGGATGTTTCTGTTGAAGAAAGTTGTTAGAAGACCAGGTCCATGCAAATCCGGTCAAGTACACCGGGTGCAATCCATCTTAGCAATAAAGGGCTTATTAATGAACAACCCGACTCGCAAAGGTTATTTATGTAATAATAAGTCCAAAGCAAGTTTCTCTGCCGTTTCTGACAAGAAACACACCCACAACGGAGTGCATGAACGGCAAACTCACATACACACAGCCTTCTTCTTTCTCTCTCGCGCTAGAAAGTTAGATATCAATTCATCTACTTCGCGTTACCTCTGCTATGATCTGCCACGTTGACTCCCCACTTAGGGGTCTATATCTAGCAACATATGTTTCGTAATATCCGCGTTGTCCGGGTCCCGCTCCAGGCTGACTGCCAAGCCGGGAACTTTCCCAATATAATCCTGCCGTTGGAGCCATGTTGAAAATGCGTAATACCCCGCCGGGGCCACATGAATAAGCTTTTTCGGCCTCTTCTCTCCGTTTGGCATGAAGTTCGTCGTTGACGGCGGAGATATCAGATGACATGCAATTAACCCATTCAAAAGAAGCAGTGTTGGAATGGCATCTAAGTGAATTTAACCTTTCTTCTTGCATTACAAAGCCAGGTTAACTCAGAGCTGCGCAATTTTCCATTGGTAGACTTTATAAGACAAGGTTTTTTGCACAACGTAACCTACCGGGTTGGTATGATTTGGATAATTAGTCCGCCAATTAACACACTCTAGCACTCGCTCAATGATTCCACAGTGACTATTGCGCCATAACATGTTGCTGGCAAAGGAAATGGTTTCTTCAACCATTCTATCAAGAACTCTGTTTCAATTTGAAATCCGTCTTATCTGAGTCATACTCTTTTCTACTGGCTTCTGTGCAATGTCTTGCTTGCAAGCCGGAAACGCCGTCTCCCCAACTCCAGTTCCAATTCCAATCTCATGCTCCAATTTTGAAAGCTGGAATCTATAAAAAAAAATGCAAAAAGTCGTGCCGCTTATGCTCCCTGCTACCAATGTGGGGGATCATCCAAATTCTCGTGTTTGTGATAAAATGCAACTGTCTCAGTTTCTGGGCTTGAGGACAACCTTCCAGTGGCCTGTAGCAAACTGCATGGTGATGTACTGCCTAAAGTCGATATCTTGTCCGGGAACCTCGAGGACGTCAAATCTCTGGAGCAGATTGGCTGCAACCATTCTCATCTCGGCCCAGGCGAAGCTAGATTTCGTTAGAACTTGATGAGGAGCGTGCAACTTTTTTTTTTAAAAAAAAAAAAAGGACAACTTACTTGATGCCTATGCACGAGTGTTTTCCTCCTGAGAAGGGGTAGTACGCATCCATGCTGCATGACATGTTAATGGTCGAGAACATTTTTCCAAAAGAGAAAGGCTAGCGACTTACTCAGGAGCAGGCGCGCCCTCCCGCTTGTCCTCCGACAGCCATCTCTCGGGCCAAAAGCGCTCAGCCTGGGGCCAGAACTCCTCATTGCGATGCAGGTCTCGGTAGGAAGCAGACACGACAGTGTGAGGGGGCAGGTCATAGCCGCAGAGGTTAACCCACTGGTTTCCGGTACGGCGGCCCATCTCGGAGGCAATAGGGTGCAGGCGGAGGTTCTCCTTGATGCAAGCCTCAAGGTACTCGTACTCGGGCTCGCTGCGGACTGACTTGCTGGTGACGATTTCATCGTTGAATCCCTTGGCGGGCAACGAAGCGAAAAGCTTGGCGCGGACGTCGGGGTTGCGGGCGAGCTCAAGGAAGAGGCAGCCTATGGTCCCGGATGTGGTCTCTGAGCCGGCGAGGAGGATTTCGGCCATTTGGTCAACAATGTCACGGGCCACCATGGTAGTGCCGGTATCAGGCTTCTTGCCTTCTTCGATGAGGTGCTGGAGGAGATCGCGGCGGTCAACTTCGGAGGTGCGCTTACGGCGTTGGACAACGGCGTCGATGGCTGTGATCATCTCGGCAGGCCAGTCGAATTGTATGTCGATACCAAAGGACCGGAAGAACTTCTTGACGTACACTGTCTGTCACCTCAAAATTAGACCTTCTGTGATATGCTGGCTTGGGCATGATGGGCTTACCTGGTATCTCTTGCTGAGACCGTCGAAAATGGAACGAGGGATGGATTTCCAGATGCGCTCGTCAACACCATCCTCGATCATGCTATCGGGGTTAGTCTGACCAAAACCCTTTCCAAAAGAGCATTCTCCCATACTGTTTGCAGTTAGCATTAGGATGAACAAAGATATAGTTTCGTTGCTGATTCATGGCAGTCACGTACATATCGAGCGCGACATTGTGCAGGTCATCCATCAAATCGACCTCAATGCCCTTCTTGGCGTAGTATACAGGATCGCCGTTGATTTGAGTCTGATACTTGTTGAGAAGATCCCGAACCGTTGTCTTGAAAAATGTCTCGAGATTATCGATATAGTTGACGGTAAAGGCAGGCGACAAGAAGCGCTTAAGGCGCTTGTGAGGCTCTGGGCGACTGGATAAGAGAGTTTAGGTCTGGCAACTTTATCTTGAGACGGAGTATGCTTACATCTCACCAAAGAGGCCGGGACTGAACTTGTCACGAGAAATCTCGGCGTACATGGCGACCTTGGGAAGATCCGTCTTCACCAAGATCGTCTTCATGGCCTCCTTGTCCGAGATCCAGACTTGGCGAGGGCCTAGTCTGACGATGCCTCCATATTTCTTGTGGCTCCTCTCCACCAACTTCCAGATGGTGCCCGTAGAGAAGAGATATTGCAGATGCAAGTTTGTCACAGGAGCATACCATGGTCCTGGAACCTTTCTGAGAGGTGATTTGAAGTTGTTGATCTTGTGCTTGATCTGGACGCCGGCGAAGACGACCACCAAGAAGTAGATGGCAAGGATGTAACCCGAAGCCATGTTGCCTAAGACTTAAAAAATAACAAAATTCAAGTCAATACTTAGAGTAAGAAGAGGCAATGAACAAAAGAATTGGATGAAGAATTTAGAAACTGAGTAGGAACAGATGATGTGAGAGACACTGACAGTACTTGTACCAAGAGCTGTCAAAGACGATATGAGCGCACATTGCCAGCCGAGCTTTCTGAAAGGTACCTTCCGGATAAGACGAACAGTTCATTATCCATCCGTCGGAGCATCCATGTACCACCGTCCCCGAAGGCGATCTCCCCTGGCTCTGGTCTTACATGAATCCGTAGGCCCAGTAGGCCAGCGACCGCTGTCGACGTATGAGTCTAGAAACTGAGGCAATCAACACGACTCAGTCTGGGCAGCATCTCGGACTGTGTAGATGCCAGCTAAAACGAGACACTGTCAAGGAAACCTTAATATATTAGAGTTCTAGTAGCACCCCGTAACGCATCTCGTAGCGTATGGGCACTGCCATCTAACTGGCTTTACAGGGGCCGCGCCGCCTAACCACTGGGAGCACCGTAACCTAACCACTGTGTGTGGTCACTCCGACTGCTTGGATCAGTGACTGCAAAGGGCTGACGCCTGATGGCGCTACTGCAACCGCTGAAAATGGGGCGGACTTCTCGCAACCGGAAACACGACTGGCTTCCCTTGACTACGTTGCCGCGTACCACGCAAGAGAGAGATGAAGGGGAAGGGTTGTACTCGATTCTGGATCTGATGTATTTGGCGCAAACTCTGTTCTTTGAGAGAGTCCATATTCTCTCGTGTCGACTCATTCTTGTCTTTTCCAATTCAGGCAAGTTACCAGATGGGAAACGAAAATCATGCTCCTTTTCAACGACCGAACTACACAGCGTTTAATGACCCATTATAGCCTGACTACGTTGTCACTGAGAGTTGCGCGTCCAGTCAAGCTGGAGTTTCAAGTAGGTTTTCAAAATTCATTTCTCTTCTCTAGTCTAGAAGTCTTCATACCCCCGCAACTATCGAACGTTCGCAGCCTTTTCAATTGAACTTTAATCGCGGAGTTGAATCCCAAACGTCTATGTCTACCAATCATCTATATGCGTCTTTAACTAAGCAAACCCGAAGGCCTCGGATACCTTCCCCTGTCATCTTTTTTCTTATTTGGCCCACCTCATAGCACCGGGGCAAGTCGGGTCATTCTCGACATACTTGAGAGTGCCAAAGACGGTCCAGAGCTGGCCCAGGAAGTTACGCTCGTCACTGTGGTAGAGGTCTCCGAGCAGGGGCTTGATTGCCTCAGTGGCCTCGTCGGCCTTGTAGAAGGGAATGCGACTAAAGTTTTATTAGCAAAGATGAAATTTTTTACAAACCTTCTCACACAAGGTTTCCAATGAAGAGAGAGGGTAATCTTACGGGAACAGGTGGTGGACAACGTGCTTCTCAATGATGCCGTGGAAAAGGTGCTTGCCAATGAATCCGAAGTCGCGGTCAATGGTAGCAAGGGCACCCTTAACGAAAGTCCAGCCCTCCTCGGTGTAGTGGGGGACCTCAGCGTGGTGATGGTGGAGGTAGGTGATAGCAACTGAGGAGTTCATGTTAGTCTTTTCGATACAATAGCTTGGAAACTCTAAAGCCATGCTCCAGGGAGGGGTGGCTAGGAGTCAAGAGAGAGGGAGGACAGATGCATACCAAGCCAGTGGTGGACCCAGAAGTACGGGACAGCGTAGAGTAGCAGGACAGTGGAGACATCCAGGATCTGGGCAGCCTTGTACAGGGCAGAGAGGGTGATGGCGAGACCAAGGTCGGAGATGGCAATGAAGATGGCCTCATTGGGACGGAAAACGGCACTGGTGGGGTCGAAGTGGCTGACGCGGAACCAGCGTCCGAGAGTACCAACCTCGCGCTGCTTGCTACCCTTGCCGGCAGTAGCGTTGAAGAACAGGTACATCTGCCATCCGAAGAGCTGGTGGCCAATAAGTGTGATGAGCTGAAGAATGGGGGTGTCTTCGAAGAGCTCGTGAAGGTCGATGCTGCCAAACAGAGGCTTCCTGGAGGTCTTGGGCTCAGTGGCAGGGACGAAGGCCATGTCCTTTTGCATGTGACCGGTGAAGCGGTGGTGGCGGTGGTGAGAGAACTTCCATGAGAAGTAGGGAACCATGAGAAAAGAGTGGAGGACCCAGCCGACACAGTCGTTCAGCCTGGTGTTCTTGGAGAAAGCGCCGTGGCCGCACTCGTGACCCAAGATCCAGACACCGGTGCACACGAGTCCCTGGACGAAGCCATAGACCATCCAAGCCGCGCCGCGGACGATGGGGTCCTGGATGTTGGGAATGTAGGTGAGAGCAGCCCAGACGAGGGCAGCGACCATGGCATAGTCACGGAAGACATAGTAGAAGGAGGTCCACAATGAAGGCTCAAAGCAGTGAGCGGGAATAGTGTCCCTGATGGTCTGGATGTCAGGGAACTCGGCCTCAGAGCTCTTCTAGTGTGAGGGTCAGTTGATCGATCGATCGCACGCACATCGGAAAGGCATTCCCGACTCACCTGCTGGGGCTTCTCGACCACTGCGGTCGTAGTGCGTTGACGAGCCGCCATCTTATGAAGGGTGCAACCTGGGATGTCTGAGATGCTTCTGTCTATACGTGGCTGTGTATGAAAATGGACAGACGGCTCACTTTCTCCTCAAGGCAGGGCGAATACCGAGCGATAAGTAAGGAACGAGATGAAGCTTCAGGAGGGACGGAAAAGAAGGTGAAGAATTCTCACTTGCCCGAGGTTAGGCCAGATACGATTTTCGCGCGGGTTCAAAATTAAGGGACTTGGCTTTCTTGCAGACCGCCACCACCAAACGTGTCTCCTTGTCTCTTTGTACCAGCAGTTGACGGTGGGTCAAGTCCATGTCAAGGGCGATCTTGGAAATAGGGGTCCAAGCATCTGGACTGATTTGCCCCAAGCATTGGCAGAACCGGCAGAAAAAAAACACACACACACACACACTTGGGACTTGTCAGTGTGCCAATGGCATGTGTTTGGAGTCGTCCGAGTGTCAGCAAAGACGTGACTCGCCGCCAGGACTAACCTTGTGGCGCTGGCTGAAAGAATCGCAGAGCCTCGGGTGATATGGTTTCCGTAGCACACTTCATGACTCAAAAAGGGACCAAGCCACGCTTCTTTTCTCTCTTCTTCATTCACGACATGTCTCACTCTTGCCACGGCCGCTGAAGAATCAGCTTCGTTCTGCGACCGCCTGCCTGTTCGGCTCTATCGAAGATCAGCACCAACATGTGTGCCCAAGAGGCAACCTACCTTTGCAGGCGGTGAGCGATATCTGGGTCACTCTGTTGAGAAGCCGCGAATCTGTTCTGCTGCAAGATCCATGGATATTCGAGAAGAGGCTTCCTCGGTTAAACAAGACTAGGCGGTATTTAGTTTAGTGAGCAAAGACTTCCATGGGTCTGGTCCCATGTACGGGTAAGAAATGGCTTCGATATCCACAAAGGAGGTCCCCCCCTCAACCCCAACGTTTTTGCCCCTGGTTCTTTGAGACCTTTGCGGAATTAACCCCCACTCTGCGTTTGAGCTTGAATCTCGTTTAGCATCGCTCTTCAGGCGGGTGTGGTGACAAAGGACCCTGAGAACCCTTTTCTGACAGAGGGCTATTTGGGCAAACCCTATTGGACGGCGCTTCCGAGTCTTTCTTATTCGTCTTCTCCAACTAGACCCAACTAACCCAAGACCCCAAAAACAAAACCGCGTGTCCTCAAGCCCATCCAAACAAAGGTCTGTGCCACAACTTCATGACCCACTCGGGGCAAAACGGGAAGAGGGGGTTCCTAATTCATGAACATAAGTCATGGGCCTGCACAAAATGTCCCCCTTTTCTGCTATCTATGCTCTCCTACTAGTCCACATCACTTTTGATGCCAAAAAAACTCACGCACAGGGTCAGGGCTTACGGGGAGCATCAGCTTCAACGCACGTTCAACCCAGCTCGCCAGCAAGTACGCTTGTTCGCTACAATTCAGAAAGCTTAACCGGCATAGGGCCCATGTAGAATTCCAGAAACAGGGCGGCTTTCTAGGGTAAACCTTCTCGCCTCCTCCTCATCTGCTTCTGCTTCTGCTTCTGCTTCTATATTCATCTCCTCGGGAATCGTTCGTTTTCGCAAGCCAGTCTCCATTGCGGACCGTTCCAAATCCCTGCAAGTGTGAACTCTGTCTATTGTCTTGTTGCAATGCAAGGCGCAAGAGAGGATCTCCATGGCGGAAATCGGAGAATGCAATCAACCTTCAATATAACCTAGAGCTTACTATCCATCTGATAATTAGAAGGGAAACCTTGCACACATACTTTGATTGCTCTTGCCATAGTCTATAGCCTCTTTGCGTTCCTTTCTATCAGTTGAAGCTGAAGCTTGACATTGCCGCATCCCGAACCCCCAACCTCTTGCCTTGGCAACCCGATAATATGACAGTGACCAAGACCAACGTTGCCAATAATGGCGACATTGCAGAGTTGATCGATTTTGTGAGGTCCAACTCTCCATTCTACGCCGAGTTCTGGGAATCGACAGTTGCCAGCAAAGACGCATCAGTCTCGTTGGACAACTTGCCCACCGTCGACCATGAGTCCTTTTGGCAGGCCAACACCTGCCTTAACAGCAAGGTAATCACATCGAAGCAGAAAGACGGCATCGTCTTTAAGACAGGTGGTATGTCACTCCTACTCATTCATATCTCGACTAGCCGCTCAATACGTGTAGGAACAACAAATCATCCCAAAGTCTCATTTTACAACCAAAAAGAGCTTCATGGGCTTTCGACACAACTAGCCGAGTCCCTCGCTCGCTGTGGCGTTGGCGAGGGAGACATGGTGGCGAATCTGTTTTACGCCGGTGATCTTTATGGCAGTTTCTTGCTGCACATCTTGTCGGTGTACTACCTGCCCGGAGGTGCTATCCAGCTCCCAGTCGCTGGCCATGTTGGAATCTCCTCTATGGAAAGGCAAATCATTGAGTTTGAGGCCACGGTCGTCCTCGCCACGGTTACGACAATGTCTCAACTTGCAGAGCGCATTCTCAACGCCGGAAAGACGCATCCTTCTGTTCGTCTACTCCTGTTCTCCGGAGAGGCCTTTTACGACGACCAGGCCGGTCTGCTCAAAGCCGCCTTCCCAAACGCCACCGTCAGATCTGTGGTCTACGGGTCAATGGATTGCGGCATTATGGGCCTGCCGCCGAAGCCCGAGCATTACGACAACGATCCCCGCCTCCATCAAGTCAACAGCCCCAACGTCATCATCGAAATCATCGATGAGGACGGCCGGGTCATAACCACGCCAGGCGAAGCGGGAAGCCTAGTGGTGACCAACATGGAGCGGCGCCTCATGCCCATTATCCGGTACCCATCCGGCGACCGGGCCACGTGGGTAGACCCCGCGTTAGGTCTGTTCCGCATCCTTGACAGGGACCGCACGGCCATCCGTCTTGGTCCCGTTTCCATCGACTTTGTGGACCTTCGACGCATCGTCGCGACCGTTCTCAACGACAAGCCTGTGGGCAAGATCCAGGCCGTCGTCACGAGAGAAAATCGTAAAGATCTTCTCACCCTGAACGTGGCTTACAAACCTGCAACGCAGGAAGAGAGTTTGCAGCTGCAGGCAGGGCTCAAGCGGGAATTGAGTGTGGTGCGGCCCATGTTTCGAGAACACGTCGAGAAGGATCTGGTAAATGAGCTTAGAATTAACTTTATCACTATGCAGGAACTTGCTGTCAATCCCAGAAGTGGAAAGATTGTCGAAGTGCTGGACCTTAGATCGACGACAGTATAACCTTGTTTTTTTTTTTCTTTTTTGTTCAGTTGGATACCTTCTCTAGACAGCTTAGTTCTTGAATGCGTAGCAAATCTACTACTAAGAAAATTATAGTGTGATGTATCGATAGCTTCCAGCATGCGATTGGCCGCTATGCGATGTTTTCTCTTTGCACTAACCGAGCTTGGCGTCCAACTGACTAGGGACGCTGGTGATTTAACCTTACGCTGCCGCCAGTTCATAACGGGAAATTATGTCGCATTTCAATCACGGCATCCGGATACGCACCGGTCGTAAAAAAAAAAAGATAGGTGCCCTAGTCACACACACACTAGCCCAAGAAGAGGTCTGGCCCGGTAGAAGCCCAGGAGCCGCCCCGCTGGTTTATCTTTCCTGGGACGGAGAGACAATTGGCCCCACGTCAACCACATATATGCCGGATGAACCGGTCGGCACATTGGGTACGGATCCGACAAATGGGGTAACACAATTACGCAAACCTACTTGACTCGCGTTGGGCGGCTCACTACCCTGCATTAAACGCTGGTCAGCTGTTTTTCTGAGACGGACTCACATGAAAGTCGTGCTGCAACCACAAAGTTTACTGTGTTGCAAGTCTGCAACGCTTTGTCTGCGAGCTGACTACGTACGCCTTTTTGGTGGTCACTGGGTATTTCATCAAAATTGATCCCAAGAACGGCGCAAGCTCCGTGTTTGTTCATGCCCTCTCAGCCAACCCTCGCTCCATACAGATCAAATCATCTCTCATGACTCTCCACACGATCCCGTGAACCAAGCAAGACCAAGCAAGACCAAGCAATACCAAAGGACCTCGCAAAAATGTCCGACAACTCCGCCAAGGACCCGAGACCAGCAGTTCCTAACCATGGGCACATGGCGGTTGGCAGTCTAGCCCCGTAATAACCCTGATGCCGCAAGCCCCCTTCCCGTTCCTATCTGTTTCCAGGCTAATGTTTCGTGGCTGTCTGTATAGATGGGCAGAACCGGCCTGGTTCAACGCCCTCGAGAGCCCACACTACAATGACTCTCACCGGAGGTTCCAGGCATATGTGCGCGACTTCGTCGACACTCATCTGCTCCCGCATGCCCAGGAGTGGGAGGCGGCCGGAGAATGCCCTTTGCCAGCAAGGTTGAAGTTTGCCAAGTCCGGTTTAGCTTTTCTCGACGTGCCAAGGGAATACCGTCCCAAGGAGCTCATGACGATCGCGGGCATCCCATTTGATCAGCTCGACGTCTTTCACGAGCTGATCCTGATGGATGAGATGGCCCGCATCCCGAGCGGGGTGCCCCTCGCTCTGGCGGGGGCATCCAACGTCGGGGCCCCGCCTGTCTGGGCAGCGGGGACTGAGGACCAGAAGAGAAGGTGGCTGCCGGGCCTTTTCACGTGGGAGACGAGCTTCTGTCTTGCCATCACGGAGCCGACGGCTGGCAGTGATGTGAGCGCCATCCGCGCGACCGCCAAGAAAACCGCAGACGGCAAGTTTTATGTGGTGAACGGGCGCAAGAAGTGGGTTACTGGGGCGCCGTGGGCGACTCACATGACAACTGCTGTCCGGATGGGAGAACCCGGCCGGAGCGGCATCTCGCTGCTCGTTGTGCCCTTGAAGTCGCCCGGCATAACGATAAGGAAGATCCACAACTCTGGCCACAACGCCGGCGGCTCCTCTTGGGTCATACTGGAGAATGTTCAAGTTCCGGTTGACCATTTACTGGGAGAGGAGAACGGAGCGTTCCCCATCATCATGCGCAATTTCAACAAGGAGCGCTTCATCTTGACGGTGGACTGCAATAGGCAGGCCCGTATCTGTCTTTCAGAGGCACTTCAGCATGCGCATGATCGGGAAACGTTTGGGAAGCCGCTTGCTTCGAACCAAATCATCCGTCACAAAATCACCACACTTGCGCGGGAAATAGAAGGGCACTGGGCCTGGCTAGAACAGATAGCGTATCATGTGAATATCCACGGTTGGCAGACGAAAGACGTTGCCAGTAGGATTGCGTTGGCTAAGATCCAGGGGGGTAGGATGGTTGAGCAGGCCGTGAGGGAGAGCCAGCAGGTACACGGCGGAATGGGCTTCGAAAGAGGTGTCACCATGACTGAGCAGATATCACGCGACCTCCGTCTAAAGGTTATCGGCGGGGGCAGCGAGGAGATCCTGAGCGACCTCGCATGGCGAGAGGAACACAAGCGGGCCACGGGCCTAGGCGCCAAACTCTAGCGGGCAGAACTTCTACATTGGATAAAGTTAGATAGAGTTAATGCAGCCTTGTATGAATACGTAGTATTATCAATACAACAAACTTTTTGATTTATCTACTCTTTGGCAGTAGGCTTGGCAACTCGCGAGTCAGTACGGGTGTGCGTTCAGCTCGTCAATGACCTGATTATGAGCCGCTGCACTCTGAAGCCCAAAGTTACCTCTCGACTTGTCGTCTGATGTGTCCCCGTCGATCCGGATAAACTTAGGTGTTTGAGATTACTTCAAATGTCAGCAGGTTGCAAGTGCAATGCCTCAATGTTATTGGAGGAGGAAGATATGTTACTAATGCGTAACCAGCTTACATGATGGGTACGGTGTAGGTCTAGCTCCCCTGTCTACTATTCTTGTACGGCACCGAACAATACCCCGCAAAACGATACCGAGGTAACTCTATCCAACCGGGTGACCCCCCTCCTCACCTTCGTTGATTTTTCAGTCATTTGCTCACTGCGGTCCCATGCAAACCAACTTTCATCTGCTTATCCAATAGTTCGCCATGACTTCCGGGAGCGTCAAATCCAACCCAGAATTCGAGCACTTTGCATCAATACCCTGGTGCGCCAAAGTTCTCGCCAAATTTGACTCACCCTCACACGTCGTGCAAGTGTCTGCGAACAGGACAATACTGCCGACGAAGGAGAACTCATACGTCGGCGGAACCCTCAACACGCCAGACACTATTGCCGCATGGCTCGTTCTATACCCCCGCCCACAGCCACCTGATTGGAAGGTAGACGAGTTGTGCTCTCTCATCACGTTCAAAGATGGCACGATTGGCTTCCCCGGGACGGCACACGGGGGAATTGTTGCCTTGGTTCTGGACGAGGTTACGGGCATGACTATCGTGGCGCAAAGGCCGGAAGGGACAGAGCCAAACAAGGACTTCCGGACGGCGTATCTAAACACTACATTCCTCAAGCCTGTTCCCGCTCCAGGGACAGTTCTTGTGAGATCGAGGATCTCAAAGACTGAAGGTCGCAAAAACTTTGTCACTGCAGAAATAGAGAATGAAAACGGAGAGGTATTGGCCAAAGCGGAAGTTTTGTACGTTTCGATACGGAATAAGCTGTGAGACGTTCGTTGTCTGTGGATATATCGGCACCAAGACTACATCAATCAGCATTGCGAGCATGGAAATTAGATCTAGAATGTTACGATGAATACAGTGATGAAGGGAACGGGCGGCGAAATACAGATTCTGTTTATCTTCAGAGACTTTAGCCTGTTCGGTACCCATTCCAATTGGAGGTAAATGGGGTTCGTTAAGCTTATGCGCGATGTGATACAGAGAGTTGGAGCTAGATAGCTAAGATACATCTAGTACAGCTTCACCAACCAATCACAGGTCAGTTATATGAACATCTATTAGTTGGTCTTATTTCTATCATTTAGCACGCAACCGAAGACCTTAAATATCGGGTTGTCTTCAAAGTATGTAAACCTCCAACCAGTTGACCAAAGGTTAAGAGAAATGGTCACGTCTTGTGGATGTGCTCCTGGTAGTGTTTTGAGACTGACTAATCACTGAGCGATAGTAGATGAAACTCGGCCGCCAAAATTATGATAAAGCAGTACTGCAAGGCTAGGCAGAATATGGCGTAACTGATTAAAATAGCGCTGCATAGAAGCAACTCGGATGTTGATCGGGTCACTGACGTCGTTAATTGCAGGCCGATACTGGGCTTTGGCAGGTTGTGGGGGTATTGCGAGCTTGCTTTGAAGCTTTTATTGGGCCAAGCTCCCCTTACACTACATTGAGCAGGCCCCACTTGCGGGCCGCCCTGTCTATGGTATTAACGCCAGTCGGCTTGAAGCAGCCTCCAGGTAGTTCTTTTGATGGGTAAAACCACATCTGCTGATAAATTCTGAAATCGCTGACAAATTCTGTGAATTTCGAGAGGCGATTCAATATGTGGTACCTATCCAGGAGTAGCCCGAGTGATTATATAGAAGGTCGCATGATCAGATTGGGCGAACAGTCAAACCTCAGGGTCACCCTTTTCCTTCTCTTCAACACTCACATAACGCTACCAAAAACTTGTTTAGCTGCAATCCAGTATTTTCATTTCAGCGATGGCCCTGCCCTACAAGAAAGTTCTCCTCGTCGGAGCCACCTCTGGCATAGGAGCCGCTCTAGCCGACAAGCTCGTTGAAAATGGAACCTTTGTCATAGCTGCCGGGAGACGAAAGGAAAACCTGGAAAAGTTCGTCGCAAAACACGGAGTCCACAAGGCTGCGGGGTCTGTGGTTGATATCCTCAAACTCAATTCAGTAAGGCTGCCTCTCTGCGAGTTACTTGTAGTTTCGATGCGTGATGCTGACGCCTTTGTGAAGATCCCATATTTTGCTGCAACCATCATCAAGGACCATCCCGACCTAGACTGTGTCTTTCTCAACGCCGGCATACAGAGGGGTTTAGACTTCACAGATGCCGAGTCTGTAGATCTTGATGTTGTGTATGATGAGCTTTTGGCGAACTATCTCTCCCATGTGCACCTTACCAAGGCTTTTCTTCCTCACCTGTCGAAGCAGACCAACGAGGTGGCTCTGGTGCACACCACCTCGCAGCTCGGTCTCATCCCCATGTGCCCGAATTACAGTGGCTCAAAAGCCGCTATGCACAGCTTCATTCTCGCGTTGAGGGCTCAGTTGAAGGCCGGTACGAGCAACGTCAAGGTCATCGAGGTCTATCCACCGGCTGTACAGACCGAGTTGCACGACGCAAAAAACCAGCCAGACTTGAAAAATGGACATGAGATTGGTATGCCTGTGAGCGAATTCGCTGATGAGGTATATGAGAGATGGCTTGCTGGCGACGAGCAGATCCCGGTGGGAACGGCGAAGCCTATGTTTGATGCTTTTGAGAACAAAAGACAAGAGTACTTCAGCACCTTCAACTCTCAGATGGATGAGTTGCTGGTTGATTTTACAGCATAGTAGTTATAGAACTTTTTCAGTCGAGAAAATACCAATATGTGCATCGTATCAAAGCGACAGAGCTAAGCAATAAGTACATCTAATAGAAAATAAGATCTACTTACCGAGTTCTAGTGTAACCAACGCGGCAAGAGATTTCAATTTCAGGGCTAATATTATATTTCACGGAAGAAGTTCAACTATTGAAAAGAAAAGTTGCTCATTTCGGGAGTCCAAACCTGATAGTTGCCGGTTCTTCTTCATCAGAAGGAGAACGCCCAGCTCCTCAACTTCGAGGACGATATCAGTCTCTGATGCGCGATGAATGATACTAAGATCTCCCGGCCATAAAACACGCAGGACCAATAAAGTGATAATTATTCGCATGTTAAAAATAGAACAATTGCCAGAAACAACCAAATAAACAAGCAATTGTAGTAAAACACTCCAGGCCAAATCTGTATCTCGTCGCTGGCCGAAATTATGGGTCAGCATTAAGCTTGTGTGGGTCCCTCGGCTCGTCCATGGTTGGTCAGTGCTTAAATCCGTCAATCGCCACTTTCTTTCCTTCATTGACATCACGAAAGTCGTGTCCCTTCACGATTGATTGCAATTCCTCTCCGGCCATGAGCACACCACTGATACCGAACGGAGCGCGGCACTATAAATATGGCGACTAAGTTTTCGAAAGCGCCATTTGCACGCGGGTGCTGTTCTCAAATAACTCGCCGCATCGATCCTCGAAGTCGAATTCCTCAACGATTTTACTCCGCTGATCGAGCGCCCGAAGCTGCCGAAACTTCCACACCTAAACAGGAGAAAGATGAGCCTAAGAAAGAGAAGGGTGCTATGACGCGCAGGCTTGAGGAAGCCACTGAAGAGGCTCTTCTTACTGGCGGTCGTGCCGGTCGGCGAGCTATAGAAGACGCCGGCTTCGATCAAGAGTTGAAGGAGAAGCTGCTCGACAAGGTCCAGACAGCCAAGTTCCGATCCGATTTTGCGTCCGCATTTGCTGAGGCTGAAATGCCCAATGCAGCAGGCGAAGGAACGCGGACAATGGCCACGGCGCAGCCATGGACGGGCGAGGAGTCGCAATCAGACATCGTCCTCCGCATGCTGAACGATGCTAAAAAGCCCCTCAAGCCCGAGCTGCGGGGGCAGTATCAGATTCCACCGGTCGATATGCGGATACGACGGGAGCCTAAGGTGAATGCTGGCCAGCGCGCTGCCAACGCCCGCGATCGGGCCTCTACATACACTGGTATGGGATTAAAAGACCAGAATGGGCTTAGCGACGACGAGCGAGAGGCCATGAGGAGGGAGTTACGCGAACGGTTCGAGCCTGCTGCGAGAGCTATGCCGAATACAATGTCCGGGCTTGCAGCGCTAGCGAACGAGAGGATAGAGAATGCCATCGCTCGTGGGCAGTTCAAGAATATCCCTCGCGGCAAGGGAGTTGAGCGGGATACGAGAGCTGACAACCCGTTCATCGACACGACAGAGTACATTATGAACAAGATGATCAAGAGGCAGGACATCGTGCCGCCGTGGATCGAGAAACAGCAAGAGCTCGCAAAGGTCGCAGGGGCTTTTAGAGCGAGGCTAAGAAACGACTGGAAGAGGCATGTGGCAAGAATGATTGCCTCACGAGGAGGTACTTTGGAGGAGCAGGTGCAGCGAGCAGAAGAATATGCCCGAGCTGAGGAGCTTCACAATCCGCGCAAGAGGAACGTCGAAACTATTACCGTGCCGACCAATACGACTGACGACATAGTCATGGTGAAAATACGCCAGCAGGCAGAAGGTGAAGCTGTTCAACCTGAGCTTGGTGGAGCTTCGACAGGGTCTTCAGCAGTGCTGCCGCCCCCTTTCCGTGATTCAGACTGGCTTGAAGGTGAGCGTTCGTATATGACGCTCGCCATCGAGAATATTAATGCTATCACGCGATCCTACAACCTCATGGCTCCCGATCTGGCTAAAAAGCCCTATTTTTCCCTTGAACGCGAGCTCGCGGCTTGTTATGCTGATGTCGCACCACAAGTGGCAGAAACTATCAGGGAGAGGGCGACGAGACCTGTCAAATCGCCCTTCGAATCAGTTAACCCGGGACCTGCAGCCATGTTTGATCGGCTCAGCGCAGGCGGCAAGGCAACCAAAATTCGCGACTCAAAGGCACCTCATTATGGCTTTAAGGAAATGTGGAGGGATCTGTGGAGTTAATGACGTTGACAACACTTATGGTAAACAAGACTGATGGTTATTTAGTCTCAGAATGGCAAGGCTATGAGCAGTTTAAAGTTAATTACATGCCATTTTCAGTGCAACGGGCTCTTTCCTGCTTTTTGCCTTGACTGGCGTAGACGTAGTCATTGCTCTGTGTTCAGGCAATTTGATAACAATCATGCGCACACAGGCGCGACGCTACACGGCTTGTCATGTTAGATGCGGGCCAGGACGGGAAACCTGATATGGAAACAACCTGTGCTGGACGAGCATCTGCGTAAGTGAGAGCTGTACACTGAGGTGATGTGTCCTAAGAACTGCAAAATATGTCTTTTCATCATATGCTCGTCTGTATCGGGTAGGTACAGCTACCCAAGCCAGGCACAGCGTTTTTGCAAGTCTTACGTACCAAGCCGTCTCGGTACTATGCCGGTCGACCTGGGTATCTTATGTCATGTAGGTGTTCTGGCAGAGTAAGGTGCAACCGGTAGCTTCTTTCCTATGTATGCGCTCTTAACTCCCTCAGGGTGCTCGAAGCTTTGACCTGGATCAAAAGAGAGATCAAGGCAAAGGTGGCATTCTTGATAACATATTCTGCAGTATCGATGGATGTTTGCGTCTTCATAGTCGCTAAGAAAGCGTTGCAGTCGAATCATGCAGCTGAAAGTGGCTTCCATGTATGGTTACACATTTCATAGAGCCAGGCAGAATAATAACTGGAAGCCCGCATAAGGCGGAAATAAAATTTATTTACGTACCAGACGGCAATAATATTCATAGAAGTAAAATCTCTCTCGTGTCACAGCATACCCCAACATCTCGCCCCATCAAATCAACTACACACAATAGCCAATTCTCTCTGTTTTTTCTTCGTTGAAGAGTAAAGATCACCAATTTGATCTTAGATTCTGCCAAAGCCAGCCTTGGCGGCCAGAGTCTTTGCAGCGTTGGCGTCTCCAGCAGCAGCGACATTGTAACCCTTGAAGGCAGAAAGAGCGCTGGCGTCGGTGCCGACGAAGTTTCCGGAGCCAGAGTAGGCATTGACCTGGCAGTTGTGGCCAAGATACGCCTTGCACTATTCCCCCGCCAAGTCAGCATAGCCCCATCATTCCATAGGTAGGTGACATGATACTTACCTGAGCGTTGGCGCTGGCGTTGGGAGAGGTGAAGACCTTGCCCTTCATCGGGGTCTGGGCAGGAGCCTTGACATTCTGGAAAATGTTGCCCTCGGCAACAATCTGAACATTTCCGTCAACCTCGAAAGCGTGGTTGGTGTTGTCGCTCCACAAGTTGTTGACAGCGTGCAGGCGACTGTTTTCGGCATAAAGATATTAGTTCCAGGATTCCTCTCATTCCCAATGCTTCGTAAAGCTCTGAAGAAGGACATCGACGAAGGTGAATAAACTTACGTGTTTCCGCCAACCTTGGGAGCGCGTCCAGAAGTGTGGTGAATGTAGTTGCCCTGCGGCATGTTAGCAAGTTCATCACTTCACATTATCCCTCTGCAATCTTCTTCCATAGTCTCAAGTAGATATAAACTGTAGACTTGGGGACAAGCTCTCTTACCTTCAGGGTAACCAGGCCCTTGTCTCCAGTCAAGTAAAGGCCCCAGTAGTGGTGGCCATCGCAAGTGGCAGACCAAGACGTCTGGCCATCGATCTCACTGTTGGAGATAGTAACACGGCCAGCGGGGCCGTTTCCAAGAACAATGTGTTGACGGCCGATAAGAGAAGTCTTGACGTGGTCGATCCAGACGAGGTCAGAGTTGTCCAGGCTAATGGCGTCACCTCCCCAGACGTACTGAGGGTTGAGGTTCGTGATGTGGATCTGGTCATCATTTCAGTAAGACTCGTCTATACAGCAGAATCTGGAAACCCACGTTCTGGATAATGATGTTGCTGGCCTTGTTAGTGATGCGAAAGCCCTTTCCCTTGATGACACCTTTGTTGCTTTGACCTATGATTGATTTGTTCGATCCAACGATCATAGGGTACTGGGCGGCCTTGTCGTACTTGACAGTAACCTTGGGGGCCTTGGCGTTAAGGTCGGTGCACCTTTACTCATGTTAGAAGGTCTCTTTCAGCTTGACGTAGGAGCCTTTGCTTAAAAATTACCAGTTGTTTTTGTTGATGGCTGTCTGGCACTTCTTGTTGCTGGTTCCCCAGGGGGCACAGCCGACCTCAGTAGCTGTGCCTTCGGTTCCAGTAAAGTCGAAAGTCTTGGTAAGAACGATGACGCGAGGGGTGTTATCCTTAAGATAGCTCACAAGTTGGGCGTTGGTCGTAGGGTAGACGGGTTTGGCATTGCCACCACCAGTAACACCTTTGGCAAAGCCCTCGGCAGCGCCCTTGACAGCATCTGCAGCTGAGGCGAATGGAATGAGGGCCGCGAGTGCAGCTGAGAGAATCGCAGATCTCATGTTGGGCAAGTTTCATAAACGAACGTTGGTAGCTTATTTGAAATGAATGACTTTTAAGTAAGGAACGAAAGGAATGAACGAATGTAACAGCTTCTGCTGATAGAAGACATACTGAAAACTGACAAGAAACCTGAATGCTCTGGATATTTATATTGTTTTGGTCTCGGCCTTTGGTACATTGACTGGTCTTTTCGAGTTCTTCACGTCACGAAGACCCTGCTGAGTGTTTGCACCGCTAACTCGAGGAACTGAATTACTCCATAGCCCTTTCATTTGCCTCGATATTGTAGAGAATCAAACAAGTCCAGGATGTATAGTAGTGCTACCGGCAGTACCATCCGAGTCCAACATTACAGTAGGCTGTCCCCAGTCGCCAATAGCTTCCATTTACGAGAATCGGTGGTGGAATCTCCACCTCTCGTCCCACATCGTGTAGAAGCGAGTTGGAGCTAAGAGCTGTTAGAGGCAGACCCCACGTGGTACTTATGCATGTCTGAGGAATCACAACCTCCTACTTGATCCATCAATAGGATTTATCGTCTAATCCTTGCCCGGGCAGTAAGGCCTGGTAGTGCCCCATGTTCAGTGAGTGCTCATTATGGAAATGCTTACCACTAATACGGGCACATGAAGGAGATTACCCGCACGCAAGTTCCAGTAGCGCGCTTTAGCATGATCCCAACGGACTGGTTTGTATTTCCCTGCAGATGTTTTTTTGTCATACTCGCAAGAGTCTGCGAGGGCTTGGGCTGCTAAGCATCAGACTACAGGAAACTAGGTATGGATGTGAACAATAAGCTTAAAGCTACTAGATCTGGAGGCCAACGTGCTAAGACTTCGACAGAAGTTAAATTCGGCTAACCAAGCATGAATCATAGTTCAGTCAACCAAAAAAACAAGCTCAATGGAACCCTACGTATATCTTTTATCATATGTTACCCGTGCTTAGAGCAGCGGGAGTCCCGGTGGCGAAAGGAGCTCAAACAGCGCAGCCAACGAAGAGGTAAAAAGAAAGACGCTTGCTGATTGAATGCTTACACCGTCCTGAAAGTGATCTTAGCTGTTTCATGTTAAGATTTATTTAATATAGTGACTAGCTCTAGTTGGTACGCCTAATGAGAAAGAAGCATATCGATCGTGTAATCCCGTACCGAAGTGTGAGGGGCATTCTGCTCTTAATCAGTTGCGCAAGCGCACGTACCAGAAATACTTGGCCAGAAGGAAACTAGGCACCAAGACTAGGATCTCGACCTGTGAAAGTGGGCCTATGGAAAGCCATATCCAAGGAATCTATGTTGTAGCGAAGTAACAGATCGTAGAAGAACGAACGGTCTAATGCGCACAGTGTAAATGAATGTCAAATCTCGATGTTTCCGTTGCAATCAACCGTATACCAATTTCATAACTGGGTGGAAGCTTCGAAGAAGGTAAAAGATTAAATCTGATGCACTTAGTGTTCCTCACCCGTTCTCTTTCTTTGGTGCTATCGAGACCTATCCAATTCACAAACCATCATTGTATTGGAGGCCGGAACAACGTACAAGTTGGTCTTCATTGGATCTTAACGTTGCTTCGAGGCATGAAGCGACGACGCACTTTTTCCCCATTGAACTTTGTCGTGTTAGTGCTGTGCCTCCCCCTGCGGGCCTTAAGGTCATGGGATCAGGTGCAGCACCAGTTCCGAACCCTCGCTTACGCCAAAGGTTTGCCTGGAAAAGGTTTTGAGACAGGCCTCATCTCTTGTAAATACATAAACAACAAGCCTCTTTGTGGCATAATTCAGTTAAGGATTGCATTATCAAGCCACACACACAAAAGGGTTCCCACACGTACTATGCGGATGATGAAACAGTATCCGTACACGTACGTCTTGCACGCTTGACTCTACTGTAATAAAACGGCCATACTGTCTTCATCATAGGTTTTGACCTACCTATGCCCCTTTATTAGCTGAGAGCATTTACACTCATTCACTCCGTCTATCATGAGCAACCTTGAAAACCAACATTCTGTTTCTCGATGTATTTCCACCGGTAGATCCTTGTACTACGGCTGGTCGACACTACCTTGTCACTCAGGTGTCAAATACAAAGGTCACTCTTCCATGTCCTCTACCAATAGAACTGGCCATTCTTTCTGTAGCCCCGGGGCCAGTACCTAGTTATGTGTGCCATCTCCACAAGCTCGTCCCTTACTTAAGCCTTACCTACCCCTACTACGCACTAACGAATTCTTGCGTGCTAGGTTTTACAAGTCTTTAAACGGCCTAGCTCAATTTCTTAAGTCTCGTGTAATTCGACTGGGATTGAAGAATTACTAACGAGCCCTCGTACGGCGAAATACCCCCCTTAGCTTGGGTGATGTTGTTATTGAATGTGGAGTAAATACGTGTATGGACAGATTACTGTGACATAAGTGGTCATGCAAAGGCGCGTACCGAAGTTGGCCAAAGCGTCTTGTGTTACAGCTTGCCAAGTTTTGGACGAGCCGATATCCGCTCAACAGGCACCGCAAAGTCATATGATAGTTGCGCGCATTTCCACGTGCAAAATAACCCCAACTACTTAGGAGAATCTTTATAGGATGGACCTGATGCGAAACGGTATGTTGTGAACCAGATGATTTTTTGATTCGAGAAAATCGCATAATTTCTTTTCACCTTTTCGTGAAATGTATGTCTTTGAAGTATTGCCCAAGCGACAGAGGCTTATAGTAGAATAGCTAAGGGAAATTTAGGAGCAAATCCTGAGAGGGCACTAGATACAACGGTGCAGTATGCCCCTCTAGCGCCAGAAGGTAACATGAGCATGGGTCTGTCCTGGAACGAAAGCCAGCCCATTTTTGGGTTACAGACGCGACGGTCGGTTGTTCGGCTAGGGCTCCCGCGGAAGGTTCAGCCAATGTATGTTAGCGATTTATTCCCCGTAAACGTCTTCAAGACCTAGAGCTCTGCCTTACTTCGGCTGAATTCTATCTTGGCCCTATCATAGGCCCAACACACTTTAAACTCTCGCCCTCTCGCCTTTTCATGTCTACCGGTGAGCCGGAGATTCGGAGCCACAAGATCCTCCTCAAATCAGAAGACCCGGCACTTGGAATTTGTGCAGCAGTGAGACTGGGGTGACTGCGTAGAGTATTCTGCAATATTAAATTGCTAGAAGGAATTGGTGTGGAGAATATATCTAGCGCGCGGCCGGGCAAACGGAAGTCTGAATTGGTGATTTTGCATCGGTTTTGAGGATGAATGGAACTGAGTAAGTAGTGGTTGAGTGGATAGTGCAATCCCCATAATACAATAGCTCGTTCTTGAAGCGCATCTTCCATATTGGCTGAAGCTTACACAGCCAAAACTGTATTTTTACAACCTAGGCCAAACTTTGTGGTTATCATTAAGTGGTAAAGTAAGAACTTGCCATACAACAGTGTGGCCAACGAGCCTAGTTGGTCGAGTTGGGTGATTTATTCAGACAAGGCCATCTACAAGAATAGAAAGGTTCCAGCCATTTGACACAATGGATGTCCTTCTACAAAATGCCGACCTCGATACATTAATAAGGGCAACAATAAGCGGACGTAATGGATGTTTGGTAATATGGGATGACCATCCTGCGGATCCACCGCTTGAGACTATTCAACAGCGGTGCGATCGGGCCCCAAATCGTAAACTACCTAAAGTACACCCCAGAGCGGAAAGAACACCGGGAGACCACAGGTATGAGAAGGGGGCCTGGAGCGTCGCTTATGCCGACAGAAAAACCCCTTTCCCACTGTGGGCTATATGGAATCTCTCCCTTCAGAGGAGCGAATGCAACTTCTCAGGTATCCAGCCTGACGGGGGCCGAGTTTGTGCGTCGTTGCAGCTTTACAGGTTGAAAAGAAAGGAGTACCATCCATAGGGCGTGGTACCCCAACTCTGCAGAGGTGCCCCTATCCTGCACATGGCCGTAGCTCGTCTATCACTGTACTAACAGTGCTCGTCAAGGACGGGGTTTTATCTGGCAGGTAAGTGAACAGACTGACTTATCAGTTTTTCATCATGTTTTATGTAGTTTCTGAAAATCACACCGCAGCACTTATCATATTAATCTTCGTATAACTACTCAAAATATCGCCATGACCGTCGGCCCGATAGTTCTACGCTTACTAGCCCCTTCATATAATCTCCAATCACGCCTAGATCCTCTTTGGACAAAGTCTAGCTCTGGCCAAAGCGATAAGCCCTGCAGAGTTTTCCCATTGTCATTTCTCAAGCAGCAGGACTGCTTTATCCCGTTCGAGAGGAGTTCGAATGAAGTACTTGTGAATTTGTAACTTGGACGAAGAGGACTATCCATAGAAAGAAATACTTAGTACAGTTGAGAAATGAGTCGTTCGACTTGAAAATCAGGTATTCTGCCATGTCGTTTTTAAGGCTTCACCTTATTAGATGTTGAAGAGCTTCAGAGTAATGACTTCGACGATCTTAAGTCAACATATTTTGATGCAAAAGCCAGTTGAAAATGTAACATTGGCCTCAGTTGCCACTGGAGTCGAGTCAATTCAATGATCTAACTCACGAGTTCCACGAGAGCTAGTTCGCCAGGAATCTGCCAACGATTGGCGTAAGAGAGCATACCATGCGCCAGTGATAGTGACATTCAGCAAGTCAAGGCAGATTGGAGCTTATGAAAAAGTGTGACGAATGTTAACATAGCGGCTTCACCTCCAGTCAGTCCACCATAGCGAGGCCTTAGAGACTGGCCAATGATGAGGGTGGCATTTTTAGGAGTGACGGCGCAGAGATCATTCCTAAGGATGGAGATATTGTGTCTTGCTAAAACCACCGCTTGGAGTGAAAATCATGTGCAACTTGCCCCAAGAACCCCGTCGCATTGGTCAGCACAAGTGCTTGGGTGGCCGCCCGGCCAGACGCCCATCACGTATAGCCCAGCAACCTCACTTTCACACTTGACGGCTCGGATTCCATCTGCGCCCCGTTCACTTCAAACCAGCACTCTATT